TGAAGCCAATTTGGTCATATGGTATAGAGCTATGGGGTTGCAGCAAATCATCGAACACCAAAACACTTCGAATGATAGCTAATGCTCAATGGTTCGTAAGAGCAACTACACAATACATGACGATCTTGGAATTCCAACAGTCAATGAAGTAAACTATACCTTAGCTAACAAAAACAAAACTAGGAATGAAAATCATACAAATCCATTGATAGCTAACCTATACACTGATCCTATGGAACGCAGAAGACTAAAACGTCACTGGCCAGAAGACCTCTTAGAATAGGTAAACCCCGGAAACCCATCGATGGATGGTGCCCGCCTCATGCCACCTAATAAGAAACCAATGTATATTCTTTAGTAGATTGTAAATTTGCAATTATGTAATAAAAAAAAAATATAATTTTAAACCTAGTTTTTAGGAAAATTAAACAATATTTTGAAGTGTGATTTGTTTCATTATTTTCCTGTGTTGGTTGTAGGAGTTGCAACGAACAGAAATCATTTAAATATGTTTAGTTTTAAAGAAAAGTCCTAAGCAAGTCAATAATTTCATGTGGTTTAGAGTCAAGGTCGAGTACCTCCTTTAAAATACGTCTTTACAACTAGGCACACTGCGTGAACGGTTTTCAATATTAAAATTAATGCCAAATGTATATTTTTCCCGAGAACTACGTTTAAAGCAATTACTTCAATTCTGGATAATCTAAATTTGTAAATAAAATATGTATTGATAATAAAAAATATATTGATACGGACGAAGGTTATATGAAAACATTGTTGTTAAAGTGATTCATCACTGATCAATGACGAAATTATCAACGTCAGATTACAAGAAAAACGTATCCCAGACAGCACACCAAATCCTTTGAATATCTACTGAACATCCCAATATCCACTGAATGTCCAGTCCATGGTGGATATCTATTTCATATCCATGAGCTGTAATTTATAGACATGCAAATGTCCATAAATAATAGTAATTATATAGCAAATTATTAAAAAATTACGCCATTGTGCTCGCCATTGTGGCTAATAGTACCGTTCAGATATTTAAAATTAATTTTTTTAAGGTGTATTCAATAAATATCCCATGGACATCCACTAAATATATCAAAGTCTAGGCGCGAACGCAAACCATCGTGGATATCCACTAGATGTAATTTTTGATTTTGCTTACTAAGTATAGATGGCGATACTACTTTCGCATCTACTCATGCTCAACCCGCCGTAATTGAGTTCGATCGAAATTTGTTTCACAATCAGACTCCATTAGAGACTGGAATCGAGAATTTCCGTTTATTGCTGAAGAGTCCTAATAAGGATAACTTTCTCCTTAGTGGGCAAAATCAAAGGCAGAGGTTGAAAATATTTTGAGTGTTGAAAATATTTTTTATCTCTGCTATTTTTTTTTCGACTTTATTCAACAATCATTGGTTACTTATGAACCTCTACTAAAGATACAATATTTTGCTGAATATCCGAATTCTTCTATATCCTGGGATCTAGACGGACATTTGGTTGAATATCCATATTGGATATCCACAGAATATATTCTGTGGATATATCTGGGATTTATTGTATTGTCTGGAAGATACTCATTAGATATTTTGCTGGATATCCATATGATATCTTCTATATTCTGGATATAGACGAACATTTGGATATCCATATTAGATCCACGGAATATTTCTGATATCCTGTGGGTATATGGGATATCCACAAAAGATATTCTGTGGATATCTCTGGGATTTGGTGTGTTGTCTGGGATCTTTGATGTCATCGGTGTGTAAAAAAACAATGAGGATGCATGGTGAAGAATTATGTGAAAATCGTTGCAACTAAGCCCATATCAATAAATATAATTTAGTTACTTTATCTACTTTTCACTCAACTTTTCAGGAGTGTTAACACGTTGACTGCGAAGCCAAAATAAATAACATTTCTAATGTGCGACACATGCCGTGAGTAGGTAGGTTTTTATATAAACGCATATGAAGGTGTCTTTCTTAGGTTACTTTCGCACATGTGGCAAGGAGAATAGAAATATGTTTTTTATAGATAACTCAAAATACTCTAATAGCAATTAGAAAAAACATTAATAATTATTGTTCATATTTTTAGGTTTTCATTTAATGAGTAATTACCTTTGGGTGGACAAACAAAAATAAGGCCTGGACAAACGAAAATAATGTGTGGATAAACGTTTGCAGTAGTTAGTTTTATAAATTGCCAACGTATATTGATAACTGTTTATAATTTGAGTTCTTTATATGTTAATAACTAATTTCTCTATGGCGGACAAACGAAAATAATGAGTGGACAAATGATTGCCGTATTTATTTCGAATGAAATGTATTAAGGTTTTCACTAAGGACCAGGCGAATTATTATTATTAATTTTTATCTCTGTTTTTGGGTGGTGGACAAACGAAACTTTTTGTTGGATAAACGTGGACAAATCATGGACAATCGGATGTCACTTTGAAATTAATAAAAAAATTTCATGGCGGTGCTGATGTAAAATTTTACTCAATTTTTAATTTTGTCACAACTTATTTTTAAAGAGTGGACAAACGAAAATTTTTATTGAACATACGTGGACAAATCGTGAACAAACGAATGCCAACTTCGTTTTATAAAAATTCGCATTTGGCGGACCTTTATGTTAAGGTATATAACTCTAATAAATATATTTTTTAAATAAATGGGAATCCCATAAATCATTATTTTTTGGTGAACTTACAAAAATACACATTTGAATTCAGATACGTGCCTGTACATTTTAAAATGATATACTAACTATGATACCTATAAGTATATAATACTTTCAAGTATAGATTAAAAAAACGCAAAAACAATTTGTTTTCTTTTTTTAGGCGATTTTAAGTAATTAACGATAAAAGCAGCAAGTAATTGTGACTTATCCTACAGTTAAAAATATAACGAGTGAAAAACCGTAAAATATATTCACAAATATTTAATAAAATATTTGCCAAACATCAGGTATTTTAAAAAATATCGAAAATTACTTACACATATCTGGAAATTCTATTTAAAAAAAAACGGCTATTTAAGATTGAGGACACGACATGTACAGCTTGAATAAGACTTTCTATAAAGCGCGATGATTCACTTTTACTTTACCATAAAGAGTACAGCACAAGGCGAAAAACTAAAGAAGGTATGATGCTGATCAAAATAGATCAAATTCTGTGTGCAAAAAATTAACACACATTTTTAATTGCAAATAAAAATCAAGCATAAAATATAAAAAGTAACATAGGAACCACAAGAACCAGTTTTGGGGCACATATTTATTGTGCAAATACATTATCTATAAAAAAACTACAAAAATTGACTCAAACCAAAAAGTGTTTTGATCTATCAAGAGCCAACCAAGATTGAAAGACTTTTGGATACCCATTGGTACCTCTGCCTAATGTATTTAAATAAAAATTTAAACAATGTATCAAAACAATATTTTCAAAAATTCTTCAGACAAAAAAATATTAAATGAATGCCATAGAAATAGTTTACAATTTACCATTTTTTATAATATATATTTTTTAAGTGACACATAAGCGTGTGTTGTATCAAAAGTAATGTACATATTATAAAACAATATAGGTTTTTGCAGTTTAAAGCTAATTTAGATACTATAAAAAGCATAATAAAAAAAAAGAAGAAGCAAATGAAAAGAGAGTATGCAACTTGCTAATTAAAATAACTAATAGCTAGGTAAAAAAAAAACACAAATAATATAACATATTTAAAAATATACATAAACAAAAACAATGTGGAAGCAGGGAGTACTGTTATTACAATAATAGTACTTACTAAGTCACTATTTTTCAGAGATGCATTTATTATTTTTCTCTTAATTAATGGTAAATATAAAGGGTAATGTTTTAAATGAGTTAAGAATGGTGTCGTACATTTATTTTTTGACCCAATGTTTTATTTTTTACATGTTTACAAGAAGAGCTGTGATTCATTTTGTATCATAAAGGTGGCACATTTCAAAATGTACTTACCATTTTGAAATGTATGCTAAAAGTTGACGTTCTTCCATCTTCAAAGCTCTAGACTACATAAATTGTAAATAAATATTTTACTCAATTTTTTAATACCTATTTAAGATTGATCAAAACAAAAAGTGGCCAAAAAATAGATACTTACAAGTCAAAATAGTTATTTTTTACATAAAACAAAATAAAACTAAAAAAAAGTACCTACTCAAAAGTTATAAATATGCAGCAAATTTTAAAATCCTTTAAGATGTGTATATATGTATAGTCAAAGCTGTCCAAAGTTTACCTATATATACAGCGTCCTAGAGATAGTTTTTCAAACATAATTTTTTATATAAAAATAATACAAATGCTACATTTAAATTTATTTTATTTACTTAGTAACAAAATGTAATTATAAAACAATAAATTGTTTTGTACAACTTTTGCACATTAAAATACTAATAAGTACATACAAGTACAATTAACTAGATTAAAAAAATACTTTAATAAATGAATCATTCAAATATGAACAAAATTGAGTCAAGAAATACAGACAAAACATATTTTTGTTTTTATATCTATTATAAGTATATATGAACCATTCTCAGCTTTAATAGAATGTCTGTTATGTTTCTTGGGACATAGACAGCTCCATTTCTGATTTTTTTTTGTATACTTTCTAATAATACTAGACCTTACTCCTTTTACACAAATTAGACGAGAAAAATTATGAAAAACATACTCAAACATAAGATTAAATACTTACTTTTTAATTTTCTAATTGCACACCTATTAGTTCTCAACTTGCAAACTAATATAATAACATTAAAATACTTGAAGTAGGTACCTATAGCTAATTAGGAAAAACATGTAATTAATGTTCAGACCATCTCAAATCTCAATACTCCACAACTGTGGTTGTTACAGCTTAATTAGTGACATGCAAAAATATCTGAGTAGGTACTTTTTAAAACTTAAATGAACATACCTCTTGGCTTAGACTGATCCCTACATCTATAGCGTTGGCTTCTCCTTCATTGACAACATTGTCGGATTGATTTTGGGCGACAGGGGCATTAGGTACAGGCAAAGGATCTGTGTTGACTGAAGAGGCAGTGCGGTTGATGTTAAGTAAGTAAGTTGTAACATCTGGGTTTCTAAAGTTGTCCCTATTGAATCTTCCTAAGGAATTTAAGTCGGCAAACAAATCTCTCTGATAGTTCAACAAAACAGAATCTAAGCTCTTAGGGCTAACATAGTGAGATCTTAAAATAGCAGGTGTAATACTTCTCCAGCTAGTACCATTATCAAAATCCAAGTTGTCATATATATTGTCATAAAAAGAATCGTGATTGACTCTGAGAATACTAAGTAAAAGAGCTAGTTGTAGGAGCTCATCCCTGTACACTTTCTTTAAACACAACATCTTCTATTCAGTTTTTATTTAACCAAAAACAACATAACCTCAAAATTAATGGGAATCAAAAACGATTTTTTGTTTACCAACTGACATTGTTCACTAAACTTTGAAAACTAAGTTTTCTAAACTTTCATAATAAAGTATACATATTCGCATGTAAACAAAAATACAATCAGCTGATTTACCACTAGTAGACTGTCACTTTCGAAACCCGGCACTAAAAATTTGGGGTTAGAATGATTATTTCATTTGTATCATCCCTTACAAACTTGCGTCATATTTGTCTTTTATTTGTAATAGTGTAATGGACGGTCACTGTTTGTGTTTGGTGCACTGTACTTTAGAAACAAAGAACATAACGCTATACTATTATTCTATTATTAAGCACGATACTCAAAATATACGAATCATCAAAACCCAAAGCTACGACGAGCAGTTTGTTTCACGACACGATGAAATGCGCAATGTGCGCTGGGATCGAGAAAATTATTTAAAAAAGTGGGGAAACCTACGTGTTTTTAAGGTGTCTCAAGCGTTTTTGTTTTTGTTTGATTGATATAAATTGCTTGTTTACGTTTGAAAATGTGTTTTTATTTTTTTTATCATATATGTATTTTAAAAATGAGTTTTTTTTTAAATAGGTATGCATAGAAACTCTATTAGGTTTTATGTTTATTGTTAATTGCGTTGCTATGTTATCAATCGGAGCATATACATAGATAAGATCATATACAATTTTTTATAGCTTCTTAAAAATTTACCGTTTTTTTTATTTTAAAATTATCGTAAGTAAACCATCGTTTAGGCCAGTGACGTGCCAGCCTTTTTTCATGGGAGGGGTTCCATCAATATACAATAGTGAATAAAAAGAAACAGTCAATAACGATCAGAGCCAATACTATAGCGGAAATGAAGACGCGAAGGCCCTCCATGGAGGGAGGGGGGGGGGGGTTCTAAATTTTTTTCACGTTCGTTGTCGAAGCCTGAGTATATATACAGTGTGTCCCAGAGGATCGACGCGTTAACAAACCTTAGTGAACATAAAGAAAAATGTATAAGGCAAATAGATTCTCTAAAATACCATTTTGTGTAGGTGTGAATCATTTCACAGGTAGTCATTCCAAACCACGTGACCTATATATTTAATAACAGACTGATATAGAACAGCTAATTGGTAAAGGCGCCGAAAGCTTTACTCGGAAAAATCCGCATATTCTATCCGTGAACGGTGCATTCATTTTTTATTTTGCTTATTTCTCAACCTTTTCAATTTTTCTTTGGTTTGTTTTTACTTTGGGGGGTGTGAGGATAAATTTCTTAATTTCGTAGTAGGAATTTGGAATCGCTTTCATGTTTTCAAAAAAAAAATTTGGATCTATAACAGTTATTTCTTAATTTCGTAGAAGGAATTTGGGATTGTTTACACATTTCAAAAAAAAAAAAATTTGGATCTATAACAGTTAATCTCTTTTCCTTTTTGGTGGACTGAGAAAGTGCTCTTATTGTCTAGTGTTATAAGTATGTATTTCGTTATTATGTTATTATATACATATCACCTACTTCGGTGCTTTACCCTTTTGTATTTTAAAAACAAAAACCAATACCAAAAATATTCGAAATGCTTAGGCCATATATAAATACCTAAATAAATTGTTGTAAGACTTGGAAACAAAATATGGTCATTATATTCATTGTGAACTTCGCTGGCTCAGTAAGGGCAAATTGTTGAAGCGATCTTATGAATTAAAAGTAGAAGTGCAAACTTTCATGGAAATGAACGGCAAACCCGAGCTGGTCCTTCAACCTTTAGGTTGGAAGATGATGCATATGATTGTCTGATTTTACATTTTTGGTTGATGTCATCAGTTACTTGAACGAACTACATACAAATAAGCAAAACAAGAATAATTTATCCATTAGCTATTCAGTCATCTATTTTTGAAGCAAACTTCTGATTAGAAAATTAAAGAAGACCGGCACCTCTAGGGAAGAACAAGGAAACGTTTGCCACTCAATATAACTATAAAAATAAGAGATTCGGAAGAAATGTATGTCGATAAAGTCGTGTCCTACATTATGGGGTGTATTATTTCTCTTATAGAAAAGGATGTATCCCAGATTAAAATAGTTTTTAGTTCTCCAGTACCTTTATATGCATATACAGTGCTGGCAAGATCAAATCTTAGTAAATGACGCTCACACATGCAAGAAAAGAAACGACACAGTATAAATGTTGCCAATCACAGTTCGAGTCCAGTAGTTAGTTCCTCGCTACCGACCTGTATCTGGCAACGTCGATACCAGCTTCTTTCCTCTCTTGCACATGCGAACGGCATTTACTATTCGCTTCAACACAATAAACGCAAGAAGCTCATTATTTTACGGTCGAGGATTCATCATAATGTTACTGCTTTTACTACTACATGTAGTGGTCTGTAGGGCGCGAAAATGTGTTACGTGGACAGACTTTCGTTACGCACTTCCGAATCTTACATTACAAGCTAATGTGCGTCGTCATCTTTACATCATATAATATTTTCTCTGGTATCTGTATTTGTAACTTCCAATAGCACTGACAGAGAGGTAAACAAAAAAAGAAATAACCGATATGGTTGAATAGTTCACTGTTCAATACAAAGATTAAAATAAATTATCGTACGGGATTAATGCAGCGCAGAGCCTATATACAGTACGTTAACCGACCGTCCAGCAAAATAAAGATAAGGCTGTAAATTATATTTGGACGTGAGAGGCATAAAGAGAAGTAATAATTGGTTAAACCACGCTCTTTCGATGTAATTAATGGGATATTGCATGTGTATTGCGATTCGCCCGTCGGCAACATATTATTCTCTGTTTCTCTCTAATCAATAGCATTGTTTCTATACCTTTCTTCTGGAGTCAGGATGGAAAAGTTAACGTACTGTATACACGTACACACCCTGTTTAACGTAATATATTTTAATCTTTTACTTACCTTTTAACGAAGGGAACTCAAACCACATAGTAAAATGCCAAAAAATGTAAAAACCTCCGATGGTCTCGATAGCGCCAGGAGTCGAACCCAGGTCCACACAACTTGATATTTTTTCTGTACTTCATTTTTAAAAATCTGAAAGAAATGATTTTCTCTTTGCGACAAGTTTTTCTGTTTTGAGACAAATATTAAAACATTTTTTTGAACGTTTTGTAAGATTATTTTTAATGTGTAGCTAATAATATCGCCATTTTAAAGCATTGACACTATAGATGTTAATGAATACAAGCGGAAACGAGTCTACTTTGGACATGATAAATTTACGAAAATAAAAAACTGTTTTAATATCAGTGAATAATGTCCAGGAACATTTTTCTCAAAGAAACTAATCGACCAACAGGAAAAAACAGACATTTTTTTATGTATACACAAACCATTTACTATAAATTGAGAGGGTATAAGCTTGACGAAGTCGGAGATATTCTTGATTTCAAGAGTTTCTTCTTTCACACTTCTTATGATTCTCAAAAATATTAATACGGAAATTTCCCGTAAAAAGTACTACGCATATATTATAATTTTCTCTGCTAATTGACTGGCCCATCTATAAATATTATTTTGGACTAAGACCAGAAAGTTGTAACCGTATTATAGTATTATTTGTTATTAGTTTAACTATTTGAAAAATGTTCCTTTATTGGATAGTATGGCATAGTGCATCTTTGAATATTGATTCAGAATAATAATGACGTGTAATAGGTAGGATAAATCACGTAAAATCCCTTCTTATCAGAATTAAAACCAGTAATAGTTAATTTGTCAATCTTTATCAATTAATATAATATCATGCGGCTGACATATTTTTAAAGTAACTATATTTTAGACAGTAAATAGGTAGGTGTATATGTAGATATTTAGTGGACATAATAGAGGATTATTTATTTTATTTCATACAAAACAACTTTATTAGCAAAAGGCATAAGGGGTTTAGTGGTTAGAGTAATTTAATGAATTAAATATTAATTCTATTGGATAGGTAGGATTCCCCACTCGACAATTCACTGTTGGATTCTAATTAACACTGCTGTTTCTATAAAGTGGTGCAGGCAAAGAGTAACAAGGTCTACACAGAACACGGGGCTAATAACCTTAGCAGTTGATGCCGATGACAAAAAAAAGCAATAAAAAAAATAAAAAGTAGGCACGGAGCCCTTATTCAAAGCTTTACTCTATTATGTCACCATTTGAAGATCCTCTATATACTTCTCCTCTCGATGTCGCCAACTACTTGAAATCAGAGTATATTTGCTGATAAGATAAGATGAGATTGCTCGAGAAGTATATACATGTTAGTTTTCAGCTGAGTGCATTTTAAAAAATATTGCTTCTGATGATGAATGACTTTCATTTTTCAAAATGATGAAACTCATTGTAGTCACTGTTAGATCTATCTATAAATATATTTTTACAAACAATATACACCGGGTGCTTTAAAACTATCTAACTAATAAAACTAATAAACACAGAAGGGCCTAACAAGAGTGCTTATATATAGCTTAGTCTCTCAACTTTGTCAGACTCAGACGGGGGTTGAAATCGGTTGAAATAAAACGTAAAAACGTGAAAATAAATACGTGAAAATAAATAAAATTGAATTAAGAGAACTGTTCCAATACGAGAGAGCTGACTATAGAACACACGCCAAGGCCACGCAAACTGCTGGACTATGGTGGAAAATGACCAAAAATTTTTAAGTCCAAAAATAGGACTTTTCACTATTTTTTATGATTCTCTTTCAGAATACGGACAAGCGCGAAACAGACAAGGAGTGTATACCAGACACGAGGGTATTGGGCCGGATAGGGGGCCATATTCACTGCTTCTTTTCTGGCTAAAAGGTATGTGTATTCATTGCATTATAGTTCTCATGCATCCAAATCTAGATTATATATTACCTTTATATATAGCTTGCCGCCTGAAAATCTGTCATACGCTGAATAAGATTTATTCTCTTATTTCTGATAGAATCGTTTATTAACATGATTTGAGCACCGTGATTTAGGTATTCTGTTATCTACTTCCGCCAAAATGACTGTTGTAGTGAACAAACGTTTGAACATAGTTAGTTATAGGGTAACTTTTGTAAAATGCATTTCTGATTGAAAATTTTAAATGTAAGAGGAACGAATTAGTTTATTTTAACATTTCTATGAAACTTTTAAACTCACCTTTTTTCCTTTTCGTAGAACTATTTTGATTTCAGATTTCAAATAATATGAATTTAAAAAATGGCGGCAATCAATGCTATAAGATTACAGAAAAGTCTCTTCTTTCATTTGTGTGGTCTTCGACTTGTTCCACATTCAGTTTCAGTTAGATATTTAAAAATTCAAATTACAAACGTACCTATGTTATTTTTAACTTATAGGTACATTAAAAAGGGATTCTTTACTTTTATTTTTATTCAATATAATATTTTAGAAAATATTTAGTTTGTACCAGAGCCTGGTTTGTACGTTTTTTATTTTAGACAAGGGTATTGTTAAAATACACGGTTAAGGGAAGGTTAAGGTCAAATCCTATGGTCAAAACATGATACGTAGAAAGCGTTGCATAGATAAAATAATAAAAAAATCTATGAATCGTTGTCTGTATAAAATAGACAACAGTTGAAAATAATTTTATGTAATAAAATATTTTTAGCTCAAATACTATTATGATCATTTATGATATAGCCGTTAGACAAATATAGTACAATTCGCATGAAGTTAGGCTCAGTTCAAGTGAAGTGTTTTGTGGATTTGACATTATTGACACTTCCGATTTCCGTACCATTTTGTTTGGGTGCTTATTTTGGTTTTTTGGATGAATTATTAATAATAATGAAAAAACAGCTATATAAATAAGTAAATAAGGTGCGTGTTTTTACCATCAAAAACATAATGAGGTTTTTAAAAATGATTATCTGACAGTGCGTAGTAATGTGTGCATTTTCAACATGTTGAGAATAAAATTTTCAATTTTCTTATCTACTGTTTATAACTGTATATTAAACGTACGTTCAACGATTTATATGTAAATAATGTTCGACTAGATTAAGGGAATTATTTAGAATAGTCCAATTCCATTATGAACTCGAAGAAAAACAAAAAGAATGTAAATATAGAAACGGAAGATAGTAATACAGTGAAGAAAACCAAAAAGGCAAAAACTGAGTTAACAAACGAAAATTTAGATATCGAAAACAGGACAAGAAAACGGAAAAATGTCGAGTCGGATATTGTTGAGGCAATACCTTCTAAAAAACCTAAAAAGAAAACCAAGTCTGCTGTTAACAATAATAAAGACTTGCTTTTACCCAACTATGACATAGAGAACATACATTCTATCAAAAAGCAAAAAAATGGTCACATCGTCAATGAGTTAGAAGTGAGTGGCACTAATACTGATTTTGATGAAGTTCCCACAAAGGGCAAAAAGAAAAAAAATGTTAAAAAAGAAGTAACAGAATTTATTGAAACCAATTTAGATGTTTCTACCCCTTCAAAATCACCTAAAACTCCCAAAGGTATAAACTCAATAAAGACAGAATATTTAGATTTAGATGCTTCTACCACTTCAAAATCGTGTAAAACTCCCAAGGGTATAAACTCATTAAAATCAGAATGTTTAGATTTAGATGTTTCTACCACTTCAAAATCATCTAAAACTCCCAAGGGTATAAACTCAATAAAGTCAGAAAGTTTAGATTTAGATGTTTCTACCACTTCAAAATCATCTAAATCTCCCAAAGGTATAAACTCAATAAAGTTAGAATGTTTAGATTTAGATAATGCCCTAATTAATTGTTTACACCATGAGGTAAATATAGTTGATATTAATGCTGGAAAATTGAATGAAGGTGATGAGAACGTTGTAACAATATCTATTAAAGATGAAGGTTTAGATTCAGATTGGGATGAAAATGATCTTCTTAAACAATTAGAAAGGAGAATTGAAAAGAAAGAATCACCAAAAGGTAACATTCCTCCTAACTTTATATTTAATTAAAATTTTATATTAACAAAAACAGAAAATATATGCTAGAAGTTTTATTATTATAAAAAAAAAATATTTATAATATTGTTTACTGAAGGTTTGACATTTTTTCTTGGTTTCATCATTTATTGAATTTGCATGTTTGTATTATTCACATAATAAATATTTAAAATGTTCTAATCCTTTTTTTAGAACGTAGAGGTGGCATTGAGTGGTCTGACAGTGATTTAAATGAACTAATTGAAAGAATGGAAGTAACTTTACCTGAAAATGATTTAAAACCATTCATGAAAAGAGCAGAAACTATAGATTGGGATAAGGTAACTCAAATACTATAAGTATTTAATTAATAGTAACAGAATTTCTATTTTTATTTATTCAACCTTTAACCATTTCAAGTTTAATACTGTTTTTTCTTAGATTGCTTTTAAAAACTACACTGCAGATGAGTGTAAAAAGACATGGAGTTTAGTTTTAAAGAAAATTAGGAGATACAGAATATTAAAAGAAGTTCTTCAAGATGCCAAAGAATGGATTTTAGTGCCCAGAGCTAAAAAGAAAATTGTAAAATATAGGCATCCTGATATGCCAAGACGACCATTATCTGCATATTTCATTTATTATTTAAAGAAAAAGGATTCCTTGCAAGTAGACCATCCTGGCTTGGATGCAGTAAGACTTTTTTTTTAGTCAATGTCATTTTCTGTAAAGGCTCCATTATCTACATACCTACTTTACAATAATATAATATTATTAGTATGTCTTTAATTTGTTTCATCAAACATCTTTTGTGTTATTTTGGTGTCAAAGAGTTCATTAATTGATTTTTGGAATTTGTGTGGCATTTACTAGTAATGGATTGCTTTTAGACTGAACTGGCAAAGATGTGTAGTCAAAAGTTCAAAGTATTGGCACCTGAGAAGAGATTGAAGTATGAAAATATTGCCAACAAAAATAAAGAAGAGTACGATCAGAAAATGAAAGAATTTTAGTGAGTAATTAATTAAAATATCTCTACATTATTTTATTATAAAAATATTTTTAGTGAAATTCATCCTGAATTAAAACCAGAAAGAGATTCTAAGTCAAAGAAACATCCCAAACTACAGAAACCCCCAAAGCCACCCAAACCTGTGGTTGAAAAACCTCCTCCTAAGCCACCCAAACCCCCTAAAGAGAAACTACCCAAACGACCTTTGAGTGCTTTCCAGTACTATCACATGGCCGAAGCTTCTAAAGAGCAAGTTGATGATAAAACTGCATTCAGAGAATTTTGCAAGGAAAAGTGGAAACAAATGCCAGATGATAAAAAAATTGAGTGGATTAGTTTTGCTGAAGCTGAAACCTTGAAGTATGAGGTATGGAGACATTAATATTGATTACATTTTTTTATATTTTAGAATAAATAAGTTTATTGAATTTTGATGAATGTTTGCCTTGCTCTCAACAATATAAATTATGCATTTAATGGATATTTACAAAATGAACTCTTTTTTTTTGTATAGGATGAATTGAAAGAATACATCAAAAACCACCCGGAATATATCCATACTAGCCAAAACAAACCTCAGCTTACAAAAGAAGAACTTCTTGTCAAAGAACGTGTCTCTGGAAAACCACCTAAGCCTCCGGTGTCTGCTTATAACCTCTTCTCTAGGATGCTTATGCATTCTGAGGACATTAAAACTGTTCCAGTTAAAGAAAGGCTCGTCTTTGTTTCAAACCAATGGAAAGAATGTACTGAGGAAGAAAAGAAAAACTACAAGGAATTATTTGACAAGGTAGGACATCAATATTAATTCATATAAATTTATATTTCTTCTGTTCTACATCAGCTACTTTTAAAGCTTTTGTAACCAACTAAAAGGGAGGGTTATTTTCTTTATTAATTCAGTTACAAATTGTATTAGTATGAGATACAAAGAACACAATACGATATAGTATAAATAATACAATACAGTTACATTTATAAAAAATTAAAATTATTCGTATTACTGCAATTCTGTGGCTGGCGCTTAAAAGGTCATAAGTCGTTTTTTACGTAAATGGAATTTTTAGTAAAGATACGTTTAGAAGAGTGTTTATAATTTAGACTGTTAAAAGGATCTAAGTCTATATACGTTGTAAAGTAATAAAAATAAGATACAAAAAAACATAATAATACAAAGGTAACCGCGAAAGACAAAACTTCATAATTAAACATAAACAGTCAAATTTTGTAACAAAACAGTTAAAACAAAATATGTCTACATATTTTTTTAATTTTTACAGGACCAAATCTCTCAAAAAGATAGTAGATTTGGATTCTAAAAATCCTTATTGATGTGTCTCAAAATTTTCTAGCGCCATTCTCAAAAAATGTGTAATATCGATTTATTACTTTTTTAGCGCCGACCACAGAATTAAAGTGAAATTATAATGTTAAAAAACATGCTGTGAATTATTTATATAAAATTCTTTAGTATTAGATTTCATGCTTAGATATGTTAATTATTACCATTGACCTGTAGGATTGGATTCAGCCAACTTGCATTTATTTTCTAGTAAAATTCAACACTAAAATTTGTTCATCTAGTGGTTTGCTTGCCTTATAAATATGGATAAAATGTACTAATTGGTTGAAAATTTTATCATTTAGTTATAACTCCAATTATCCTTACTGTCCACACATTAAAATGCAATTACAATGATAAAAATTATGTTTTAATTTTCTGCATTTACTGTTTTTTGATTAATCAAAATATTTTTTGGGGGAACAGAAATTTCTAGTAGAAAAAAAAAATTTGAAACGAACATCTAAATACATATTTTTTTATTAAAGGCTATTGAAAAGTACAATAAAGATTTCGCAACCTATATAGAATCTTTACCAGAGGAAGAAAGGGAGTTGGAGCTTCTTAAGGGTCCAAAGCGGAGAAAATCTGAAGATGAAAAGAGAAAGAAAGGATCAAAAGGTAAAAAAGTAGTCAAGAAAAAGCCAGAAACCAGTACTGAGATCAAAAAGCCAGTTGTAAATAAAGCGAATAGTTCATCTAAAAAAACTGAAAAGAAACCAAGAAAATTAGTTGAACCTGAACAACCACCAATGTAAGTTTAAAACTTGGAAAATTGTTATTTGGAAATTATTTTTTTCGTACTGTTTTTAGATCTCCCTTTAAATATTTTGCTTCCTCATATAATGGAGAAGAACCAGCGGCTAAAGCATGGAAAGCTTTGACTTCAGATGAAAGGAAGCGATACGAGGAGGAATTAGTTCAAAAGAAGAAAGCCTACATCTTAGATTTCGAGAAATTCTTGAAAAGTATGACCAAGGAAGAATTAGAAAACTTTTCGAATTCTAGGAAGAAACAAAACAATCAAAAGGCCTCTGAAGAGGACGATGATGATGAGGTAATTCTGCAGGCTTTGCTTGAAAGTTATCCCAAATGCTTGTCGCATTATACAGGGTGTCATCAAAAGTATTGCAATAGTTCCAGAGACTAGCTAACTTTTTATTAAAATTACAACTTTTATTCTTTATTTACAGGATGAAACAAGTGATCAATCTGATTCTGAAGAGGATTCTAATGATGAAGATTCTGATGAAGAAAAAGATAACTAGGGAAATTTTGTGGAAAAACTGCCATTAGTTACTTAAAATGCTGTCCCACTCATTTGGTAAAGTTTATGGATATGATGTGTGGTTGTGCTGATGGTTATTATTTCTATTTTGTTATCGATAATTGTTTCATTTATGAACCCTTCAAACAGAAGTTGTGCTTCTTTTCACTATTAATGAAGATGCATTGTTTAATTTGAAAGTTTTATTAATACTGCAAAGGGAGGTGATTAGTTATAGCCCAATCGGATTAGTATTTTAGATTCTGAAAAATTCGAAGCAGCAATTTTCCTTCGGAATTCCTTGGAGGGGGTCTCTGGTAGTCTAAATTCAAAAAGTTGGGATTCCAAAGTTGTCGTTACCTCCGCCATCTTGATTTAAAGGGTTATTTTTTGTATCTTGAATAACTCATTTATTTTCAATTTTACACGGAAAATAGTTTTTACAAAAGTTATTTAAAATTAAATTTCCTACAATTCTGCTTTTTTTTTGTACGTTCGATTTTTTTCAATTTATACCCGAAAAGAGGGGGTGAATTTTTGGTTATAGAATAACTCGTTTATTTTCAATTTTACGAGAAAAATTGTTATAAACAAAGTTGTTTAAAATTAAATTTCCTACAATTCTGTTTTTTTTTATACGATCGATTTTTTCGATTTATACCCGAAAAGAGGGGGTTAATTTTTGGTTATAGAATAACTCGTTTATTTTCAATTTTACGAGAAAAATTGTTATAAACAAAGTTGTTTAAAATTAAATTTTCTACAATTCTGTTTTTTTTTGTACGATCGATTTTTTAGATTTATACCCGAAAAGAGGGGTGAATTTTTGGTTATAGAATAACTCGTTTATTTTCAATTTTACGAGAAAAATTGTTATAAACAAAGTTGTTTAAAATTAAATTTCCTACAATTCTGTTTTTTTTTGTACGCTCGATTTTTTTGTATTTATCTCTGAGAAGAGTGGGGGTGAACCTAAGTATTGTATTGTCACGTTTATTATTGATGTTGTACCATTATTTTTTCTGTTTGTTTTTTTTTGCTGATACCTGGAATTAAAAAGAAACGTGATAATACAATGATAAGAGTTTACCCCCACTCTTCTCAGGGATAAATACAAAAAAATCAAGCGTACAAAAAAACAGAATTGTAGGAAATTTAATTTTAAACAACTTTGTTTATAACAATTTTTCTCGTAAAATTGAAAATAAACGAGTTATTCTATAACCAAAAATTCACCCCCTCTTTTCGGGTTTAAATCGAAAAAAATCGATCGTACAAAAAAAAGCAGAATTGTAGGAAATTTAATTTTAAATAACTTTTGTAAAAACTATTTTCCGTGTAAAATTGAAAATAAATGAGTTATTCAAGATACAAAAAATAACCCTTTAAATCAAGCTGACGGAGGTAACGACAACTTTGGAATCCCAACTTTTTGAATTTAGACTACCACAGACCCCCTCCAACGAATTCCGAAGGAAAATTGCTGCTTCGAATTTTTCAGAATCTCAAGCCTGTTCTTCACCTAATCCGATTGGGCTATTATACTTTAAATACAATTGACATGACAACAAAAATTTGTTTATATATTTGAATTATGATTGAGTGCATTTTTGTTTAGTATCTTCTTATTACATGCATTTATTTCAATTTATTTTTTTCTAGTTACAATAAATTGTTCTAATTAACGCCCTTATGATTAGTATGTTATGAATATATTTATAAATGACATTGGTACTACATTTTTTATTTTTCTTTCTTCTATTTTGAGCGATTGTTATCTAGTGTCCTGACAGTGGTTGGATTTTTGCAGTTTGCACAAGCCACCTTTTTCAAACGCAGTTTGTAGATATTTTAGAAATTAAAAGTTTTTAATATGAAGTGATCCACAAAAAGTGTTTGGACTTCATTCAGAGGCATGATTCATATTTGTCTTTAGAAATATTTTTTTGGATCACTTAGGTAGAGCGATTTTTGAATATATCTTAAATATTGTACAGCAATTATATTTGAGCTTGAGAGTGTTAACTGGAACATACTTGACTCTGATATAGTAAGGATTTGAAAGGTTATGATTACTTACATTCAACAGTTTGAATAAATTATTTTCCTTCAATTTTTCTGAATATTTTAAAAAATATTCACAGGCAATTTGTGAAATTAGCCGTATGAATATATTTTGTCCTTGATTAATTTATATATTTTTTGTATGTGCAACTTTTTTATATTTTTATTGTACTAAAACGCTTTTATTAATCTATATTTTCCCAACGAGATAATATATTCGTGAAACTAGTTAGTAAGGGGTTTAATGCAAATTCTATTTTGTAATTTAAATGTTTTGCTAATTGTTTATTATATAAAATGTTTTTAAAACACAATTTTTCATTGTGTTAATATCATTTTCGTGCTGGAATTCTTGTACATAATTCGTATTTATGCATAAAGTTGACCAAAATACGTACTAAAGGACAGCAACGTTTTGATAAAAGATGGGAAACTAATAAAAGTACATTCCTTAAATGTTTGAGTAGTATGTAAGTAACGCAACTTAAATATTTTAGCAAGATAAAATAAATATCCATAATAAATTATACTTTGTTGCCGTACATACGCAAGTTACTTCTTTTAATAAATTATTTTAAAACAATCCGTCCTTGAAATCTCATAGTTCTGCAATAAAAATGTTCCTTTTTTTAGTACTAATTTTGTCAAGAGTTGCGTTGTAGTAGGATATTTGTGCAGTAATTTTCTCTAATATTGCAGGTATGCCTATCTTTTCTTCATCTCTCCCTTGATTATACAATTTTTACAAATTCTCCAAGCTTCCAAGACAGATGTTCTTATTGTATGTTTTATTCTAACTGGTTCTATCTTTAGTTCTTCTCTATACAATTTATTTCTGAATTACCTTCATTCTTTTATCTTCATTCTCACTGATTTCTTTGTTATTCTTGAGATATTACACAGAATGATATCGCAAAAATCTGGAGTTAGTGGAAAATTTAAAAAATGCAAAAATATTTAAGTTGCTACATTCACAAAATGCCAACTATTTCCGCTGAAATCGTAAGTAAATACTGGCAAATCGAGTCAAATAATCCATATACGAGGGTACAATTTGATTTGTGGTCACAGTTTTATCTTGTATGGTACAAAAAACTTATAGATGTTCGGTACTGAACCAAAAATAAAAAACGCATTCTATGCAAGAAACAATTTACGTTGATATTTGTAGTTCCTAAATATTTATTTGGTTAAATAATCCGAATATTTTGAAGAGAAATTACCTCAAAGATTTTTTTTTTTAATTATAATTACCTTCACATCTGTAAGTTTTTTGCTAAACAAGTCTATTTTTCACATTGTAAAATACAGCGACAAATAGTTTTGATGTCGTGTCAATATAACTTTTTATACTGTTCTTTAGGAGCCCTGTACCTAGGGCGGTTCCATACGAATTTGTACATGTTACTGAGTGGTAGATTAAATGTAATACATATTTTAAATTAAGTATGAAATAGAGCAAGATTCTTACAATAAATAGATTTCTTTTGTAATAGTTATACTTTTATTAAATCCTGCAACATATAAAAGTTTTTAGTTTAAAAACGTAGAGAAAATCTTAATATCTAAAAGAGAAAAAAAGTACACTCAAGAAAATAGAATGCACTAATAAACTCAATCTAGTATTTAGTAGACTGCCAGAACTTGGTGTGTTATCATCGTCGTCGTCGTCGTCGTCATCATCATCATCGTCGTCATCATCATCATCGTCATCATCATCGTCGTCGTCATCATCATCATCGTTATCATCATCATTAATAACATATTCTGTCAAATCAGTGGGCACAGTAACATTATTTAATTCCTTAGCAAGACCCCAGTACCTTCTTCTTAATAAATGAGCACTATCTTTTGGTTCACGATTTCTAGTAAAAATTCCTTTTTTATTTCCTCCAACTCTGTTTATCTCTAAAAACAAATATGTTTTTACGAATATTCAATTATAGGATGGTCTAAAAATGTTATAAGCTATGTCTTTAAATTAGTTTAAAAATATTGTTTCGGATTTCATTTTGAAGAGAGTTCTTTTAGTAAATGGGAAAGTGAAAGATATTTGATTGAAAGGTATTAGACATCTGCGTTGTTTGTATGTTCCTGTGACACAACAAACTGGTGCTCCTTGCAAAGACTGGCATCCATTCTATTAAGGCATCTTTAACATCGTAAGGTGTCAGAAAAGATGCACCTAAGTATTGTGTGTAACTACATTTAGGCATTACTTATAGTTATTAAAAATTACGCATCGGACCTCATACTAAAGGGTATTTTTTTAAGGATGATAAAACTTTAAACAAATAATAAAGAAAATATTTTGTGATAAAAAAAAGTAATATTATTTAAAAAAAATAGTCTATTGCATTAACATTTAAAAATTATTTGCAGCATGTGGCCACCGCGGCAGTCTGCAAGATAGCATATTCTTTTGGTCCAATTTGGGTGACTTTCGAGCCCTTCTGGTCATATGTCATTAATACCAAACAATGTTGGCTTCTAAGTCTTTAGTTGTTGCTGGTTTATCAGCATAAAATAATGACTGACAGCTCTACAGAAAATAATCTAGGGGCGTCACATCACAGGACTTGGATGGATAGTTAACAGGTCCATTTCTCGAAATTAATCCTCTATGCGTTTGGAGAAGCGATGACTGACTTTCAAAGTAAATGTGAAGAATTTGGTAGTGGTGTTCAAGCGTAAATCTATTCATGTAAATTTTCCAGAACAGAAATTTTATGAATAGCGTCAGACTGACAGTTCAGTCTGGCAGATGTAAAGTTCTATCAAACCTATAAAAACACCCTTTATATATAGAAAAATAAATGTTTACTTTGCGAAGTTTTGAAATCGGCAAAATTCCATATCATTTCCCCTACAAGCCATCCCTGCTTGCGAACAGCGTCAAAAGCTTTAAAATGATTTGACAACAAATCAACTTGAAATTCCTCGGACCAAACAAAATTAGGTAGCTGAAATAAACAAAAAAACAAAGTATTTGTTAAACAAAAAGGTTTTTAAAGTTTATTTTTGATTTAGCACTTACGCTGTGATATCCTTCTAAGGTATCGCCACCATATTCAGTTATTAAAACCGGTTTATTGTGTTTTTTGTGCCAATTTTTAAGTTCTGTCACCAACTCTGGATTAATAACATCTAGTTCCCCTGTATATAAATACCAAGCGTTATAACGATTAACCCCTATGATATCAACGAATTGTTCCTAAAAACAATTCGATTTATGTTAATTCAATAATATCTAATATTTTTATTTTGGCTATATTTTTAGGCTCCTCATACTCCAGCTGACTTTTTGACATTATGGACCATATTCAGCCAACGCTAACCGGTCCTAATGGATGTTCTAAAAAGTCCGTTTGAATACGAGCGGCCATTAGGCTAAGCAGGCAAGATTAACAATGTTTAGATAGACTTACCGAAAATTCACTATTATACGTATACATGTTGATAATTGTAATAGGTCTGCTTGAATCCAATGAACGTATATGGCTAGTAACCTGTCTTAAAGAAAGTTATCAAAGTTATTAATCTAACTAACTTATTTTGAAGTTTGAGTCAATGTTTTAAAATGGGAAAAACTAGAATAAGATTGTATAAGATTATTTAATTCTCTCGCTTACAATTTTATAGCAATCAACCGGCTTTTATTTTGTCAGTTCTGCTTGGAAGATCGTGTCAAAAGTGTCCAGATTTATTGATACGTGAACTTTTGGCTTCTAGCCGGATACTCCAGCGCGAACTCCTTTTTCAGTCCGCCTGAAAGAGGGGAATATCTCCCTTGTTCCATTCATCTCTCTCGGAAATGGGAACGCTGTGCTGCTGGATAACTAGCGAGTCTGAGACCATTTTGAGAATGTGGTGGTTGTTTTTCTCACCGCCGTTCCTGCTTAGATTGATTGATTAGGAGTTTGTAGAAGACCATTCTGGCCTCCCTTTCCGGCAAAATGCGATCAGCATACTTCCCATACCTCCCGTCAGTGTGGTAGACATTGCCCCAGTGATGGCGACACACGAAAACCGCTGAATTCCAGATAACTTTAGATGGTTAAACGGTAGTGCATTCTAATGTCCCCAGTCCTAGTAGTTCAGACATTAAATTTGATCCAACACTACCTAATTTAAACAAGTCTCATACGACAACTATGACCTTCATTCCAAATAGAACTAATTTAGGTATGATCCATAATAGGTCATATGGGGTCGCAGTGGAAAGAGAAGGTACTATTATAACATCAGGTAGACTTGAAAGGTACCGCTGCGCAGTTTTTCCACTTAATACGCATAAAAAAGAAATATGGCTGCAAATTAGCGGAAATCGTTCGACGTGTACCACCTTTCTACTTACAAGTCTACCTTTCAAATAACGAATTAAGTGTACCACCTGTAGTAGTGGAATTTCCGATTGAAGTATTTGATGATTCAGTTAAATAAAGAGCATTAACACTAATGTGTGATAACGGACCTCATAACTTATTCAAACAATCCATAAAGTGACAAAAATAACACGTTCTGGTTAAAGATTAAAAACAATGTTTATATAGTTACTTACTTGTAGTAAATTTCTGATGCTTTATCCTGAGTTCTGGGTTCATTTGCACAAGACCAAATCACTACACTTGGCCGGTTTTTGTCCCTTTGGTAAAGTTCTGTTAGCGATTTTTTGTGATTTTCTAGTAGTTCATTATTGAAGTTTCTAAAAAAATTTAATATAATTTTCAGGGGTTATTGGCTGTAAGCATCAAATTTTAAGGGTCCATATATTATAGACCATCGAAATTTGGCAGAAATGCTCACTAATGATGGCAATTGAAAGTTGAAAAATAGGAAATGTGATGCTTAAACAGGTGACAGAGAAAGATTTGTTCACGTAAAACTTGTGAAGAAAGAGGAGAGATAAAAAAGTTTGACAGAAAACTAGCCAAAAATATTTCCAGAAGGCTATTAAAATGTCAATGGAGATTATATGTTCACCCCACTTAAGCTCAAATAGTTTATTCTTACTCCGTATTAACTGCGGGCGACTCGTCAATAATCATGATGCCCAATTTATCAGCCAAATCCATAATTTCCTCGGCGTATGGGTAATGCGATGTTCTATAAGAATTAGCACCTATCCACTTAATCAAGTTATGGTCTCTTATGATTAAAGGGAGGTCCATGCCTTTACCACGAATATCGGAATCCTCATGTCGCCCAAATCCTCTTAAGTATATTGGTTCTCCATTAATCGTAAAACTGGTGTTGTTCCAAGCAAGTTCTCTAATGCCAAATGGTTGTGAATATGAATCCAGTAATGTATCTGAATTGTAGATTTCCACCTAAAAAGTAAATTTTCCATGATAATAATAAAATACAAAATAAGAGCATATATATTTACTTTTAACTTATATTGATAACCAGGATTATCATGCATCAAGTAAGGCCACCAAAAGTTTGCTTCGGGTACTTCAATTTTACCAATTTTTGTATCCGTATGTGCAATTTCTGTGTTACTTGCATCCAGGACTCTAACCAAGTAAGTAATTTTGGTGTTATTTTCACTTATATCTACTTGGTAACTCACAAAACCTAAATAATAATATCAATTGTAGATTTACAATGCAGAAAGTTTAACTAGAATAAAAGTTGTAACTTGGAAACGTAAAATAGTTTTTCGTCAATATTTGGATGAACTTGATCGGAATAAATTTTTTTTTTATTTTTTTAGTAGTTGTTGGGCAGTTCTTAATTAATAATTTTGAAAAATTTTCAGTTCCCGGATTTTTTTTTTTCGAAACTATCCATTCTTCAAAATAAGAAGAGGGTATATTGAGTGTCCTGTAAGATCTTTATAATCAATGAGGAGAAGTAGGGGATCCAAATGATGACACAATAGGGCACCTGTTCTTCAGTGCCGCCATGCGAACCTCAAGAGGAGACAAAGCAGGCTGGACCCAAGCTTGATTGTTGGAGTCTGCCGGAACCCCTCAGAGGGGAGCAAATTTAAGCCTGAAAGGGTGAAAAAAAAGATCTTGAAAACCCACTAAAATTAATTACTTTTCATGGGAATATCATTGCTCTGTTGTATGAAAGCCATTTTAAATTATGCTGAATAATGTACAAAGAACATTTCTAAAGTATTTAGTTTATAAAAAAGATGGGAAATATCCAGAAAGAGGAATCTCTGGGAGAATAATAATCTTTGTAATAGATTCGAAAGTGTTGAACTACTTGATCTAAAGACGCCAGTTAAAAATTCCGTTTCATTGTTTTTACAAGTATCTTTTATTGTACCTCAATTAAACTTTAGAGTTGCAAATGTATTTAGAATTTTTATCTAAGTTACAAATTTTATTTTTCAGTCTTCCACAATCGACAAATATAATGGTTCAAAATGAACTAACTACAAAATATTACGTACCACTTGTTCCACTAATTTTTGTAGTTATTGTAATGTCATCAATGTAAACCATAGGGGTTGTATACAAAACTACGGGTCTGTCAATTCCAGAGTATTCAAAAAAGTCATAGGTGTAATTCAGGACCTTTCTGCCACTAAAAGCATAAATAATACATACGTATTATATATCGTCATAGATGCTAGGAAATGGTTAAATGAAACAAACCAGCTAAAATATTTAAGCTATGCTATAGATTTTTTAAATGTTTAAACGATCGTTCATTCGGTGGCTAGACTTTTATAACTGCCCCTACTGTAGATAAAGACTTCAACGGTAAATATACCTATTCAGGTCTGATTGGAAGTTTCTACACCATCAGACCAAAGATTAAGCGATGGATGATCAATAAAGATTACCTACCTTGGTAAAATACTAACAGATCCTTGAGGAATTGTTGAAATGCTTGGAGTGTTATCCACGATTACTCTAATAACATTTTCATCGTTTATTAAAAATGATGTGATATCTCCTGTAAATGGTAAGTGGCCAATTTCATGTGATATACTTAAGTTACCATTAATGTACTAGAACAAAAATAGAATAGTTTTATCAATATAACAACTATGATATACAGTATTTATTTGTGTTAGGCATACGACTAGTATATAAGTTAATAAAATGGTAACAGCCAGTCGTCGACTAGAATTAGAAGATATGGTGATGAGATATTAGTCGAACCGAACAGCAGTCACAAAGCTAGAGAGCATAGCGATAGGGATATCGTAGTTACCACATGTTATTTCTAATACAAAATAATAAGTGTTGTATTTATTACTTACTACTTGTGCAGAATAACAAACTGAACCGAATCTCAACCATATCCTTTTGTTAGAACGCCAACTGCTAGGTATAAAGAAGGTTTTTTCATATGTAACTGGTCCTACGTGGTCTCTAGCTTCTGAAGTTGTTGGAATGTCATTATAGCTCGACGGTACTGGCATTAAATAAATATCCTGATCATCTTCTCCACCCTTGAAAAACATCAAATATGATAATCACGATGAAGTAAAAAGGTCTTCAAAACCTATGATAGTTCTAACTTTCGTCCAATTTGTATTAACCAATACGTATCTTATGCTTCACTCATAATATTTTCTATAATATAATATTCTTTAAATATAGACGGTTGTACCAATTTGTTAGTGTCAAAATATCTAAATTTTCTCAAAAAAATTTTACATTTACTTCAGTTTTATTAGTAATTTCGTAAGTAAAATGTTTCTCACCGTAAGTCCAGAATTAATATCAAATAAACCATCTGATGATAGTGTAAATGACCATAATCCATCTAAAGATTTCACTTCCCTAGTTTTTGATATCCTTGGAAAAAGAATTCCTCCTTCATAACATTTGATAACATTTAAGCATACAATTAAACCTAAAATTTTCATTATTTTTAGAGAAATCGTTTCACTAATCATTCTTCAAACATATTTGCACTTTTTAATTTTATAATCGATGTTAGATTAACATATATTTAAAAACAATTATCTGATAAAAATGTAATAATGTAGTTCTTGAGATTTATTTGGAGTTTATAATATTCGAAATTAATAGATTATATTTCTATTAAGTACCTAAATAGCCGAAATTGTTTCAGGTTGCTTCTAATTTGTGTAGGTATCTATTTTTTCTCATCAAATTCACACAACGAATGATTCGGAAGTTTTATATTAGGGTATGAGGTATGAGACTTTGTTTTCCCAACAAATTATCATTACAGTATCATGAATCATTTCATAACCATGGTGCTAATAGTGTCATGGTGTACCACCCACCTAGTAAAATTGGCGTCTTGGGTTCAAAGTGACTGTGACTCCCTAAAGGTATAGGGTATTTCCCATTCTACGACTCCAAGTTTACCTTCAAGAATAATATACAGAAAACATAAAAAACGTTTTTTGGGAAAAGACTTATTAGAAATTGAAGAAAAAATTGCTGGTCCTAAATGTAATACTGATTTGTCTGATTTCTTCTTCGGATAGTCTCCTCTGACGTACGGGATAGGCCGACTTGCTTATTTTGATTATATCAGATAATATTACTTCATATTTGCGTTGTATAGATAGGAATATTCTGGACAACGAAAGATAGAGTGTTATCTTCAGCGACGAATCAAAATTCGATGTATACTTAGATGATTATTGTAAAAAAATCTGAACGTTTGGTAAAATTTCCCCAGGGGGTTATGATATGGGATGCACGAGTTGGCAAATATGAGTTCATTGATGCTACTGTAAATGCAGAAAAGTATTTGTGAAGTATTATATTTCAACAAGATGATGCGTCCTACGAGACTGTAAAAACAATAAAAAAGTGGTTTGGAGAGACTATGATGTAAAAGTTTTATCGTGGCCTTCAAGTATGTCATCAAACTTTATGGCATCAAATGAAGAAGTATTTGCCTAACAATCCTCAGCGCAGGACCGTAGCCAGAATCGATTTTTAGGTAGGGCATCCGAAATTTGAAATAGGGCACAACGTTATAGTTGGGCCGAGGGTGTGGTGGTCAGAGACGTGAGTGAAGAGAGGATCGAACGTAGTTTGACCAGGAAATTATTTGCAAAATAAGCGTGCATGTAGCGTTTATAACACAGGTGTTTAAACACGTTTATACAAATTCAAAATCGATAAAACTAAATGAAACACCAGACCTGATATTCTCTCATAAGCCAACGTCATTCTTTAAAGCTTGTTTATCCAAAAGGTAGATTCGCATGAAGCAGTCCTGCAGCCGAATGTTGCCACTGTTGCAAAGAGATCATACGTTTCCCTTTTTGTCAATAAAAATAATTTTCCGTTAGGAATTATATAACTTGTAAAGGCCTAACTGCTAGATATTCTGTATCTAGCTGTGTTGTGAAATGAGTTTGTTCTTATTCATCTTCCTTGTTAAGTTGCGGCTTTCTTTCGAAGATAGCTCTTGTATTCATACCTTAATTTCGGTGTATAATGATCAACCTAAGTCTCGTCCATATTTATAAATCTGCGCAAAAATATCTCAAATAGCACCAAACATTATTATGAAACGTTCACAAGAATGAGTTTTGCTATGATGTGACTAATCGCAGCACCCATCTTGTGGACAGTTTTCTCATGTCTAAAATATTGCATAATATGTAAAACGTTTGATCTTTTGAAATCCTCACAACTTCAACTATCTCTACTAACTTCAATCGAATGTCACTCAAAACAATTTTATGGACTTTCAGGACCATATCGGTAGCCGATTTTGATATACCTGAGCGCTTTGCTTCCTTAGTGCTTGAAAATCTACAACCCATGCAGAGCTAGGCAGTAATCGTATCAAAAGTGCTTAAAAAAGTGTTTCAATCACAAGCACTTTTAGTTCTAGGTAATTGGTAATTGGTAATTGAAACCCTTTATAAAAAGTGGTAATTGGTAATTTAATTTCGCATTTTAAGCCATTTAATGTGCTTGCAAGCACTAAAGGATTTGCAAGCACAATTCGTTTTTAAGTGCTTGCTTATTAATTATTACCCCATTGCGAAATTTATGAACAAAGTGTCAATGACAAAACTTCTATACTCTTATTAATTGGTCACTACTGTAAATGGTTGCCGTAGTTATTTTAGTCCAAAGTTCGAAAAACCATGCAAAAATAGCAAATATAATCTCTTAACATGGGTGTCCTCAAATTCGGTTCCAATTATTTTTGGGGTGATTCTAAATAAGAAAATTTCTTAACAGATCCGAAAATTCATAGTTTTTAAGAAAACTTCTTTAAATCAAAATGTTATCGTGTTAATGTTATGTTATTCTAACAACCACAATGTTAATCTCACGAATACCTTGATTTACGTGTATTATCTAGTCGTCAGTTACACAATTCATAACAAATAAAAGATTACAAAGCAAGAAAGGACAGGAAAGTAGGCGAAGAGGACGGATATAAATGTACATAGATACTGTCATGAAATTTCTAAAGCCGACTCTGTCTAAGCAAGCATCCTTCACGTCTATGGCAACCGACTCATGCTCGAAACGGTGGAATGTTCTGGGAATGCCGCTAAGGCTCGAGAAACGGGTAGAACATGCGGAGTGTGCCGTTGAGTCAGATATGGAATTTTCGGAAGCGTCTAGAGACATCTCGTAGCAGAGTTGGACTTGGTATAAATAGCCGACTCATCGTCGGGCAGTTTTAGTATAGAGCATTGCAATGAAAAGTTAAAGTGTAATAAATAAATTAGAATTATTAGATAGTGTCTAAGTATTATATAAATTAAATAGTACGTCATAAATAAATTGTAAATAGTGTTTTAAATAAATAAATTAGACTATCGTCACAATACGAATAAATAAATTAAAAGAGATGAAGTAATGTGTAATAACGACTGGCTATTTTTAAGGTAGGGCATTGCCCCATGTGCCCCCTCTGGCTACGGCACTGCCTCGGCGTATAGTTACAGCATTAAGGGAAAAAATCAATTGAGCCATTATTGCTGAAAAAGGTTATATTACCTTTTATTAATGTTTGATTTAAGTTATAAGATTCAAGTGCGTTTATTTGTCAGCAAATGAGTTATATTTTGTTTTGTAGTTTATTCAAAATAAAAACATAAGTCCTTAGGATCAGATTTTAGGTTAGGTGAGGGTATATAATATGAGTTAAATTGTGAAGACACAAAAACAGTACATAATATATATATATTTTTTTATATTTCGTATATTGTCCGAACGCAGTGTCGGATTGGGCCGTCGCTCGTCGGTCTACCGGTCAAAAGATAAAGAATCAAATGCGAAGAAACCCCGTAATACGTGCATCGGTGGACCTTTTTTTTTTGCTCTTCAATGAATCTGAGAAAAAAAGGTAAGGGAGGCCCTTCGATCATTCTCCTGAACCGATAGGCCTTGGAGGTCCCAATCCGACACTGTCCGAATCGAACATATTATAGTTGTTTTGGACTCGTATTCTTAATTTATAAATAGTATAGAGGTAGTGGTCTATAGTTAGGGTTGCCAGACGTGAGGAAAGACCGTACAAGTCCGGAATTTTGGTGTTTTGTCCGAAATATGCCGGAAATTGTAAGTTGTCCGAAATTTTCAGGAAAATCCCGTATAAATAGTTCTTTTGGCAGTTAAAACTGTAGAACGTAGACTTTTTTTAATTAAACGTTTATTAATTAATATATCATAAGTTGGAGGTTCATTATTTTGTCCGTAATTTTAAAAAAATGTCCGGAATTTTCATTAGGAAAGTCAGGAAATTGTATTTCTGAATATGGCAACCCAACCTATAGTCCTAATCAAAATCTAAATAGTACAATACTAGAAAAAACAACGCGATATAAATAGAATAATTGAGAAACATTTTTTAGAAAATTGTATATCTAGTGCCATTTTTTTGGGGGAATGGGGGTGGCAAAACTCCTTGCCCCTTAAGCGTGTGAATGTGTTAGTTTTATTTAATTTCTATTATAATTAATACCCAAAATACATCAAAAATCGGAAGATAATTTGGTTTATTTCGACACACTAATTTTATTACGAAAATTCTGTTTTTAATTTGCTCGGGGATACATGGTGAATCATTATGGGCAAATTTATGTAGTTATGGATTTCTCAGTAGCTGGTAATTTTTATGCACTCTTTCTTTATAAAACGTGTGACCTTCTGATGTTTGTTTGACCATGGCGGGGAAACTAGCACTATATTTAATTAAACAACTACAGCCAGGCTGATCATATTTGAATTCGTCGAGATTTTAGTATCTTTCACAAATATCAAAGAGTGAATAAGAACCATTTTTTAAATTTGAATAAACGTGTCACAATTGTGGCCCAAATTAACCAAATTTTTTTGTGACTTTTGTGAAATATGAATCTTTGGATATGCGTAGTTTGCTTGGCTTTTTTGCATAATGTCGTAGCTCAAAGTAAGTTTTTAGTTTCATAAATATTATTTTATCATTAATCTGTTCTTTTTTAGTTAAATAATAATAGTTTTTAATTTTTAAAAACAGCTTAAATTTAATTTTATAAGAGTCAGTAAGATTCAGAATCTGTGTGTTTTTCTTCTAACTGACAAAAGTACCATTAACTACTAATATTAATTATTGTATTTTTGTTTCTAATATTGCGATGTATTTTTATTAATTTGGCGATTCTAATTATTATAATAGTCACACATTTTTAATGTGCATACCTATCTAGTTTAAGAAGATATTAATTTGCCGCAATATTTACTGTCTGTATTGAGTAGAATATAACGGGTGATTTTTGCTTCTTAGCACATGTTTTGTTGTCATCAGAGATGGATTGGCTAACTCATATCGACCCTGGCATTATATTACAAGCAGTTCAAGTGAAGTAACTTATTTCTACATTATTAAAAAATAAGTACCTTCACAAAATTCTTAAAATTTGTTAAACTGACATCAGGGCTGCGATATTTTTCTACCTATACATACCCAGTTTATTAAATATAATGGCGGCTCGTGGTTTTTGAAATTTGGGTGGGCAGTATTATAAGAAAAATACTTTTTGTCCAATCAATTTACTACTATACTATTAATACAAATAAAATAATTAATAATTTTGAATCGTTCTCGGTAAATCTAAAATGTATCAGCTTGCGTGCTTAAACATTCCACAAATAATTTAAAATTATCCTTATTGTGGTACTCTGATGACTCATCATGCCCTCTAATTTCTATAATTCCTGTTTTTTTTTAGAAAAAAAAATTAAACATTTTCAGCAAAATAATTTGTTTAAATTCTGATCCACACACATCTATTTACGCTTCTGATACCAATTTAAATTAAATTTTCTGTTTATATTTATGTTCATTAAATTTGGGAAATTCTTATATATTATTTTCCATTATGCTTAATTTTCGAAGTCTGCTTCTATTAGAAAATCAAAAATATCATTGATGCTGCTTTATAATTATTACCTAAATAATCCAAATAATAGTTATACGAATGGGATACAGAACAACTGAAGATTCTCTGATTAAAAATAAGACTATAAACGAAACATACTTTGATAAAATATTACTGGTTTCCGAAATAAAATTGAAAATTCAAAAATTATTATTAAAGGCTATAATTTTTTATTTCTTAGCAAAACAATCAGTTAAATAAACTTTGCCAGTGGCGTACGACATGGATAAAGTAATTCATACCCTCTAAATTTTACGCCACTTTCCAAAAACTTATTTGGACTATAAATTTGAATTTTTTGATGTTTTTTAAATAAATCATGTACCCCTGTTGAGAATTTATAGAAAAAAATCTAAAATTACAAAATGAAAAAATAAATTAAATGAAGAATTATCCACCTTTGAGTGTGAATAGCTCGAAAACCAATCACGATATGAGTTCCCAACAAGAATACATGATTTATTTAAAAAATATCAAAAAATTTAAAATTATAGTCTAAATAAGTTTTTGGACAGAAGGGATGGGATGAAGGTGTATTCATGCCGTACGTCACTGTATAAGTTTATTTAACAACTAATTTTTTTGTTGACAGGTGTATCTTATGACACCAAAAATATTTACTGAATTTTTTAAAGTTATAAAGAAAATTAAAAAAAATATATAAATTAATTTTTAAAATTTTATAATTTGCTTTAGTTGGTCGTGAAAAAAATATACTGTACTCAAATGAATTGTCCGCATCACAAAATGACCATCATATCCACTTTGTTCCACAAACTATATACTGTGTTACCATACTTTTGAGACTTGCATCACAGAAAATAGGGAAACTAAAAATATGTCGGATTGATGCCCAGTAAACAAATTTATTTATTATTTCATATATCGCCGACATCGCCGGGATTTTACGAGTCTGTTATACACTGCCCGCCCAGCTAACCGTATTCCGAAGTATCAGCATGATGACCCTTTATTTAGGCCATCCATTTAAAATTAGTTAGTGGGAATCTCTAATAAATAAAATGATAACATCGGGTTACTGCTAAAACAAGATAACTCACATTTTTAGAGTTTCGAGAAAACGCTTTTCAAAAGGTTAAAATTTAATAAAAAATCAGTAAAATCTTGAAACTGTTTAACACTTTAACCCCTGTGTGTACCAGAAGTGGTACACAGCAAGTTGTTACATGGACTGTGTGTACAATATATGGTCACAAAATATTATTCATTAAAACCTGGCAGATATTTTATAAATTATTATCAGAAACTGCGGCTTTTTTTTTGGTAAATTTGTTTTATTTGAATCGTTACAAACCGTACTATATTATAAAAATGTATAATTTTGCAAAAAACATGTTCAAAACGTTGTGCCAAAAAATGGTACACACGGTTTTTTACATATACCAACATTGGATTTTTTTCTTTTTTTATCTGAAAATTGTGTGTAGCAGAAAAAAAAACAGTTATTGCGTAAGAACTTCTCACTACATGCCTGGCATGATGTATTTACTCTCTTGGAATACTTCATTATTATCTTCCATTTCTTTCGCTAAGTGTTTTGTAGCACTTAGTGCATCTTCCTCTCTTGTTTTCATCACTAAATTTATGATTACTTTCAGGTTCTCCTGCCTTATTTGTCTGCATTTGACGAATGTGAAATTTTTCAAAAATTTTGTTCATGATTTGTGTTCACACGTGTATAGTTTCATAAAAGTACCTAAAGTTTCGTCCACCTATTGACGACATGCGAAACTGTTCCGCCAGAATTTATCCACGACCTGAACCAACCGTTATAAGCATTTTTAAACTTCATGCAGTTGTGTTTGTATAGTGTACACACCAGATAGAATCAATGCATGTTTCGTGCCCATATAGAGACACACAGTTTGTTGGTAAATACTTATTGTGTACCACTTATGGTACGCACAGTTTGTTTGGAAAAGCTACAAAAAAGTAGCTCGGTTTGTAGTAAAAGATATGAAACATTTGCCCAAAAAAGGTTTTCAAAACAACTAGCCTTCACAAAGTATAAACTAAGAATTTGTCGACTTGTAACAAAAAAAAAAGAAAAAGTTCACAGGTCATAATATTCAATGTCTGTGTCACTACCTTCAATGGAAGGTTCAGGTACAATGTCTTTAACATTATTGGATACAGGTAGATTGTGACAATAATGGTGAAATTCAACAGGTCTAGCACCTGATTTGCAAAGTTTTAGTAAATCTTCACATTACTTACGTCTTGCACTTTTTTGTAAGTATTTTCAGAGCTATTTTTGTCACCCTTTCAGGCATCCCTCTGCCGGTATGGCTTGGGTTTTTCAAGCAATGCCAAAGCTGGTGTTTCGTTGATTTAAGAAGTGCTTCTGGTCGTGTTAACGTCAGCATCCCCGCTCGTTACACTTTGACCAATTACTCGATACGGCTTGACCAATCAATCATTCACCACGGCGATTTGGACATAACGTGTTATAATCTATTGGTTTTTGAAGGTTAGCTGTATCGTGGAAAGAAAGGGTGACATAATCATCTTGTCGGACCAATCGAGAAAGGCAAGAGACTGCTCTTTGCAAAACACAACAAATGGCTTGGGCAAAATGTTCAAATATTTCAACAAATATATTCAACAAAACAAAAATAGGGGTTCTGGTCTTTGTCTTGTTTTGGCAAAAACACTATTAGGAAATTAGCAACTGAATACATTGTTAGGATTATATTTCTGTATAAATGTCTTTCATCTTGTTTGTGCATATTATGAATACATTAATGTGGTTTGACGTTTACCCCCTCTCTACCTACCAAAAGCCTTTCCAACTTTTACTTTCGCTATACGTTTCATAGGTAATGTAAACCGGCTCTAACAACTCTAAATTTAATCTCAAATCCAAAATGCAATTATTTTTGGGTGGTCACTGCCCCTGAGGTGCCGCTACTGGTTGAATGGGGGTGATTTACGGTTATAACCTCGGGAGTTCCCTAAGGTACATGTCATGGAGGAAGGATAATTAGTACAATTCAGGAACCGGTGTTATTTATTTAATTCATAAATAACATAAATAATGTTAATTTTAAGAATTTAATTTATGCAGATATTTTGAATGATAATAATTTGTAATTTGGTAGGTATACCTATATCTATTAAATTCAAGAAAATTTATATTAGGTATACACTAAAATATTGATCGGGTCGGTGGTGTAGCAGTCTAACGCGCTTATATTCATTTATAGGCAAGTTTATGGTCGGAGACTGCCGGGCTTCGAATCCAAGACCAGACCATGTGGATTTTTAATTAAATTGCATGGTTCGGTATAGGATTTGATGTGTGCCGTATTAATAGAAATTCAATTTCTGTTGATATGACATGCAGATTATAAAATCGCCATGCATTACCGTCTCGATGATGGTGGGTGAGGTTTTCCTCGCCTGTAAGTCAAATGGCACCATCAATCATCTGTAAGTCGCCCCGGAGCGCCACGGCAAATAATAATAATAATAATAGCAGTCTCTTTCCCCTCACAAGCTTAGCTTTTGGGGTTAAAATTCACTTGTAAGGGGGTGAATTAGGGAGAGTAGGTATTATTATTATTTCTACTGAGACGTATAAATTTTGACAAATAATGTAGCTTATACCTAGATTGGTGCATAAGTTATATTTTTTTTTACATGGGTCATCAAAAACTACATAGGAAAGTTTAATTAAGAACTATGGTAAATTTTTGAGGACAATTTAAAAAATAATAACACTAGCGGTGTCCTGAATACCTATAGGATGTAGAAGACCCAAGGAATCACAGAAGAATACCTACCTGCGGTAAAAACTGTACGAAAGAACAAGAACATCATAAGGTACAAAGTGTAGAATACTTTTAATATTTTTATTTCGTACAGTGACAACTTTTATTAATCATTACATGACATTCAACATTTTTAATATCTATGGTTATTTCTTTATAAATTATATATACAGGTAGGACCCACAATACAAAGGAAAACAGGTTTATGTATGTATTGCACTATTAATGTATAATTTAAAGAATAAATCTATTCTAATTTTCCCTAATCATTTCCAGGTCGGGCCCTGCATCAATTTTATAACAGTAAGCCCTTTCAATATCACACTTCTAAAAAAAAAAAAGGTCTTCAAGCACAAACTTCTCCTCCTCATTAGTGAAAACTCTTTAAAAAAAAGTTCCTCTCTCTTGTGCTCTTCTGACGATCTATAGAGAGTTATACTATCTAATTCAAGGGCGGTTCCAGTGGACCGCGGCTTTCCCGAGATTAAAATTCTTACAATCCATGAGCCATTTAATAAAAAAATATGCCAAAAAGGAAATTGTTATTGGCCCCGAAAATTCAGCCTACGGAGCCGCTCTTGATCTCATTCAATATCTATAATGTAATTACAATTTCTAGTCTTGGATTGAATATTGTGTTATAAACTCCAAATCTATATGTATAAAATAAAAGCTTGCTAAATGTCAATTCAATTGAAATTATACCTGTTTGTCAACAGCATAATAAATTCGTTTCTTCTACCTAATGGTTATTAGAGTTGTAATTTTAAAAATCAACTAAGGATATTAATAATATTTAAATAAAAATATACGTAATACAAATATGATTCTCAAATTTATACCTATTAGATTGAAATTGTAACCAAAAAAATTTAGTATGTTATTTGTTAAAGCAATTATGTATGTTATTTTCGGAACAGGATTCCATTAGCTAAAACCTTGTAGGTATATTATAATAATTTATTGTTATTTAAATTATATAGAATAGTGATTTAAATATTTAGAGAAAACCATAGATACATTTTTGACACAGGAATATATTTAAGGCACCTAAGATATTAATTAGAATTATTTTTTTTATGTATAAATCTTTTTAAGACATACTATTCTTTTCTAACGTAAAACGTTCAATAAATAGCTTTGTAAATTGGTAGTTTTATAATATATTTTGCTGTAAACAAAATACAGTGGTAGCAAGATCAAACCTTCGGTCCTGGTTTGGTTATCTTAAAGTGAATAGTAAATAGGGCTCGTATGTGCAGGAGAGGAAAGGATGTGGTATCGACGTTGCCAGTTAGACGGGTCGATAGCTTGCTACGACTCGCAATGTTGATATTGTGTCGGTTCTTTTCCTATATGTGCGAACGCCATTTTCTATTCACTCTAACACAAGCAAAGCAGTACCAAAAGTTTGATCCAGCATGCGCACATCTTTTTATTGTCTAATATAATATAAAATTTGACAATAATATAGAGGATGACTAGATGAAAGCGAACCCCGTTATTTTTTATTTAAATGGTACACTCTCCTATCTTTTTTAGTTTGAGATTTAGACCTTACAATCATTTAAACGAAAAAATGCGAAATAATTGAAATTGTCAAAAATAGAAATTACATTATCTCAATTTTAAGAACAAAAAAACATGAATATCTCATCAGTTAGTGTGATAATAATATAAAAAAGTGATGTGCATTAATTTTAATAATTTAACATACTGAATTAAAAATAATAGATATATTTATGAGTTTCGTTTACGTCTACTTACCAGGATATACATAAATCAAACACAAAAATGTATCAAAGTAAAATATTTAATTGCAATGTATGTATCTGACTTGACTTATTAACTATATATTAAATCAAAGATGTTTTATTTATAAGACACTAGAAATCAAATCTACTCATTGTATGTTGTTTTAATACAAATATAATAATTGATTAATACAAATTTTTTAACCAACTAATTTCCAATTTGTAATTTCTATTACTCTTGGGTCTTCTAATTTTTCCTGCCATGTCTTTCAAATTTGAGCGAATATTTTCAATTTACTTTTGAAGATTAATTTAATTATTTTTTTTAAATGATGTAATCCTTTCTGCTGATCTCTTATCACCTTGCTTTGTCAATTATTTAAGGATCACACCTTTCAATATTATTTGAGCGTAGATTTGCAATAAATTAAGTAGCCATAAAATTGCATAATATGCTAGTTAAAAATTCATGCAGCACCGTTTTAACACAATAGTTAGTTGCTCATTAAAAATAATTAAGTCATGATATTAAAATGACAATGTTATCGGTGACATTAAAATTGAACCGTGTATTAATGATATAATAAACGTTGGTGTTATGGTTTATTCTGCAAAAGCCGATCAATGCGAACTTTTATGGAATTTAATTAGTCGTTCTGCTAGTTTCTACAGTTTTCTTTATCAATAATCGAAGGACATTCATTTTAAAACATATTTTCGCTTAACTGAATTTCAAGCATTTCTAAATACATTTAAATTGACGTATCTAAGCCATATAAGCCTACACTACTTTCCGACTCGCTAAAAACACGTTGAAGTCGCATGGTACTTCAATTGACCCCTTCGCTACCATGTTACCATAATACAGTGGCGGCTTGTGCCTTAGCACATAGGAGGAGCCATGGATTAACATTATCGGGTGCCTAGCCTAGATTTTGACTCGAGGTCGTTAAAAAGCATATATTGGGTTATTATTATACTTTAAAAACTCAACTATTCTAACTAACTACCTAACAAACAAAAATTCAGCCCGCATAAAATGTCAAAAGCAATACCCCGAACACGCTATTGAAACAATACTATTCTAACTATTCATTCCGAGCCGCCTGAAACGTGGCCCCGTTTGAATGTATAAGAAGAGCTTTCTACAGGCGAATGGCGTGATCTTTAGTAAACTTTTATAATGGATTGATGTGTAAGCAGCCGGGCCACTGGTCGATGTGCTCGGATAGACGGCGGACAGTCAACTGCATGAATTATTAAATTTGTTGTCTAGGAATAACATATTTACAAATGTTTCGCCAGTGCCAAGGCCCTTTGGCCCCTTAGGACAAGTCGCCACTGCCATAATGGCAACAAATGCATAGTGCCCAACTGTATAATGTTGCCACTATGGCAACACGTTTACTAAACGCACAATGTTGCTTTCATGGGTCAGTATAATTTCATTATTGTGTTTTAGCCCTGGTATATTCAAATTTTGTAGTGGGAGTAAATTTCTGATTGGTGCTCCCAAGGTCATGCTGGTTATAAATAAATAACTATCGTTTTTTGCATTATAATAAAATATTTTTTGTTTTCTTGTCGTTTATAACCCTATCTTTGTATCATAAGTAAATACCTACCTAAAAACAGAAATTGAAAAAAAATTTTTTTTGTGTAAATCTGGTATAATATTGTAGATAGCGAAATCGGTCTGTTAGCAAAGGGGTTAATTCCTTACCAAACTAGCATTCTATAATGAAAATCTTATTCACAGAATATTTAGATACTAATTTGTTTATCTTTTACCTTAAATTATTTTGTTTGTTCAAGTTAACTGGTAAACTTTATGGATAGATTGACAACGGTGTACTTGTTCAAATGTAGTACTAACTAGTAAGGCAGCTGTTTAGATTACAATCCAAATAGGTGCTTTTAAACAACGTTGGACTCCGACATAATTAAAGGTAAACCAATTCTCTTAATATACTATCAAAAAATAAATATACACTATTGAGAAGTAATACATTTCTACCCTAATAATCTTGTAGTCTTTCTTTCTTTATTTTTGCTGCGTTGACTATGCCATAACTTCCACGCCGCTTGTCTGCAGAACGAAAAATCATTTTTTTCTAGTTACACCTCGAATACAACATTTAAAATAAATTTTACTTTCGAAAACAATAGTTACTGTATTTACATTGAAATATTTTCAGTTTCTGTTTCAGTACCCGAAGGAACTCCATGCTACACATCTAGAAATGAATACGGTCTCTGCATAAATATAAAAAGTTGCCAATTTATGATCCATTTACTCAGAACTAGAAGTAGGGATCCAGAAACGGTTAAATATCTTAGAAGTTCATCATGCGGCTACATCGCTGGTATACCCATGGTTTGTTGTCCGCAGGACGCATCCATAAACGACCTTAACAGCAATGAAGGGCTGGAAGAACGTGCAAAGAAACATAAGGATAGTTCAGAAAATTCAGATGTTGGAAAACTGAATGGACCTAAGTGTGGAATCAGTAATGTCACCAACTACAGAGTAGTAGGTGGAGTCCCCGCTAAATTAAGTAAGCTATTTTTCTTCTAACCAAAAAAAGAATTACAACAAAATCGAAAATATAATATTTTTTAGATGAAATTCCATTTATTGCAATTTTGGGTTACAAAAATGCGAGAAATCCGAACACACCAAAATGGCTTTGCGGTGGATCGTTAATAAGCAACAAACACATTCTAACAGCTGCTCACTGCGTTTATAACAGACAAGACTTGTAAGTACCTACTTTAATGAATACTTACTCCATAAAAAAATTGGTAAAGTTTCTTACCCAGAACTTTCCTCGATACAGTAATTGTAAAAATGGTATACTCGTAAGCACTTACATTTTAACAATTTAAAATTAAAACCATCAAATCAAGAAATCCTTTTTCACCTTCCTCTCTCCATCGAGTTTCCTCTTGATCCCATCCGAACTCTCACTTTGCGCCCGCCCGGTGTTTTTCGTCACGTTCTCCGTTATTGAACGGTAATGATTGGCTACTTTTAAAATGAACCAGTTACACAAACCAAAAGGACGCTTTTAATTATTCCATTTAAGGGGGACCCTTTTTTTATTAACTACGATTCCTTACAACACCATTTTGAATTTTTAAAAACTTATTTAGGATCTGTTATCTTTGGCTCCTAAAATACTTAGATGCCAATTTTAGTAGAAATCTGACGAGTTTTCAAAATAAATTATTTTTTAAACTGCTCACCCTGTATATAACTGCTTTTGAGCCAGGAAGGGGCCTTTTTTACGATTACAATACTTCCCTCTTATCGAAGGAAGTAAAAATGTCCTTGTTAATCCGCCATATTTACAACATTTTAGACCATGTGATTCGTTGTTCCCAAAATTTAAAATTAATCTGAAATGAAAACCATTTCTTTGAAATTTTTTAGCATGTTTTGAAGAGACTCATCCAATGTTCTCGACCTGCAAGTTCTCATTTCCCTCCATGAGTGTATTAGGTTGGAATTTTCAATTGGTTGGCCTTCTTTTTCTAATAAAGGGATTTGTAGTCATTTAAGCTTTCTCTATTTCTTCGTCTTCTTATTTAAATTTGGGACACAAAGGAGAAAGGAATTAGCAATATAAGATAAATTAATCTATACAATCGTGTTTTTAGATACGTGGTTCGCCTTGGTGACCTTAACCTTTTTGACGACAATGATGGTGCTTTCCCTGAAGACATCAACATTGTAAGCTCCAAAATTCACGAAGACTATAGCCCTACGAAATTTACTAATGACATTGCCATTTTGACTTTAGAAAAAGAGCCAAAGAATCGTAAGTGTATCTAGGATACAGAATGTTTAATATTTTTAATATCTGTTAATATATTTCAGCAAATATATGGCCTGTTTGTATACCAAACAAAGAACCATTCAAAAGCAACACGTTCGTAAAATATAATGCCATGGTTGCAGGCTGGGGTGCACTTTATTTCAGTGAGTACAAAAAATATATTATATTACCTTTATATTTACAGAAGAATTAATAACAGAATATAGAGTTCATATAAGCTAGCAGCTGGCACTGGAATGGATGCTACAATAAAAAGAACCTGCAGTCTTACCTTTGAATACATACCAAAATCCTGGAGAAACATTAGGGACACTGTTATACCGAAAATCTGAAAAAATTGGACATGATACGGTCCCTAAGAACTTAACTAAGACTTTGGAGAAACTTTAGATAATGCTATTAGAGAAAGAATATTGGTTAAAGACCAGTATATCAGCACTATGGCGTAATTAGCTAAAATCACGCTGCTAAAAAAATAAGTAGAAACTTGTTATATGGAGCCTATAAATTTGTTTTCTATTTTAGACGGCCCCTCAAGTGCAGCACTTCAGTTGGCTCAAATACCAGTAGTCGAACAGGATAAGTGTAAAAATGCTTTCGCTGAAAAGGCCATAATTGATGACAACATTATCTGCGCAGGTAGAGCAGACGGCAAGCAGGACGCTTGCCAAGGTGACTCTGGAGGACCACTATTTTGGGGTACAATTGACGGAGAAGTTATCCGTTTCTACCAAATCGGTGTAGTCTCGTACGGATTTCGATGCGCAGAAGTGGGATACCCTGGGGTATATACGAGGGTTACAAATTTCGTTGATTGGATAGAAAATAATGTGAGTTAGTTATTACTTTGTACAAAATGTTTTACAATATATATTCGCAAATAATGTTTGTTTTTTTTTTTGTTGCTCCAGGTCGTATTTTCGGAGGGGGGCCATTAGACCTACCTAGGACTTTAATAGTTCTACACTCTAACAACTCTCATAATTCCCGACAATGAAAATTACTTTGAGAATCCCACTGAAATGATTAATAGACTTGCTGACCTTTTTTGTAAGTCTTACACTGATTCTACTGAGCCAAATTCCGAGGTTAATCTATTAAATGTATCAAATTTAAATATAAATGCCTTTATCGAAGATGAAGTTAGAAATACGTTAAAGTCAATGAAATCTAAAATGACTATGGGGCCAGATAATATTCCATCCTTTATTTTGAAAGACTACGCTTCAATTCTCCCCCATCCCTTAAAAGTTCTCTTAAATATGTGTCTCAAATTTTGTTCTATCACATCTATCTGGAAATGATCTAAGGTCTGCCCGGTATTTAAAAAGGGTGATAAATCAGACATTGCACAATATCGTCCAATTTCAATTATTAGTAATTTCTGTAAAGTGTTTCGAGATGTTACTTCAAAACAAGATTTATCATCACGTCAGTAATATGATATCAACAGAACAACATGGATTCATGAAAGGTTGTTCCACCGTTACCAATCTTATAGCTGTAACACAGTACATTGCAGAAAATATCGATAAGAGAATCCAGATGAATGTAATATACACCGACTTTTCCAAAGCGTTCGATCGGCTTGATCATGGTATCATGTTAAATAAACTTTCATGCTGTGGTTTTTCCCAATCACTGTTAAATTTATTTAAGTTTTACTTTCCCGACAGAATGCAATATGTTCAAATTAACGGTTTCAAGTCGACTCAATATCTGGCAACTTACGGTGTTCCGCAAGGTTCTAATTTAGGTCCTTTTTTATTTAACATATTTATAAATGATATAAGCGATATTTTAGATACAGATATAAACTTTCTTCTATACGCCGATGATTTAAATTTGTTATGTCGAGATTATTAAAACTTTTAAGTTTTAAACAAGATGGAGTTTATCCCCCTATAGGTACACCTCATCATGATCTGCTACTTTGACATAAGTTTTGGAGTCTTGATACAAGACGCAAATATTATTCTGTGGTATTGCTATTTAAGACAGTTCATTTTAAAGTTGATTTTTCATATTTGATTCATAGTCTTAATTTTGCAGTTCCTCGAATAGCTTCCAGGAACACCCGTACATTTTACTTGAATACACACAGAAAAAATATATACTCTCTTAAAATCCCCTATATACACCATGTGTAATAATTATGAACCAGTAAGTTGCCAGCTTGATTTGTTTTATAGTTCAATTCATAATATTAGGTGTTATTTCTATAATAATGTTCTCTGAAATCTTTAGTTTTGCATATATTCATGAAATACTAGAAAAATAATTCTCTTAGCTTTTTTTTCTCACCTGCTCTGCTGTTCAATCAATTAGTAAATTAATTGTATTTATATATTCTTGTACTCTTACTCTGTAATTGGGTCTTGACCTGTTAAGTAATGTAATTAAAATAAATAAAATAAAAACAACAACTATATAGAATCCCTTGTCCCTTCTTTCCTACTAGTGAAATACTATCAAAAACACCGCTGTCAGCCAGTTTTACAATCGCTATACAAATAATCAGGGGTTGTCACCAGTGTAACAACTATTGTCTTATTGAAGATGCCCATATTTGAGAGGTTGGATTCCCTCTTCTTCATTTTTTTAACAATAATTATTTAGATCACTATCTATCATCAATATGCTATTAATGAAGGGAGGCAACATGCACTGTCACAAGTCTTAGGGTCCTGGAGTCCTGAAGAAACATCCATTCACCCGTGGCAAAATAATAAAATAAAAAAAGGAAACTATAAAAAACAAAATATTTTTTAGTACGAAAGCAAGAAGCAATGACCAAAACATGACAGGCTCATATTAGATTTTACAGCATTACTGTACCAAGTATGATTATCAGTTATTAGTCAAGTACTGTATCGATTATTATTCAACTAAGAGTATAGGAAATTGTTATTGTGATTGACATTATCTTTCAACGTTGCTGCAACCAATGCAACACCAATTATATGGTTTTTCCGATTAGATGCGACAAATTGATTTGTTAGAGTGTAGGAAAGGAAAAATCGAAAAAATCGCTTTTAGAAAAACATTCTTTTAAATTAGGGTACCTACATATGAATATATTAAAATATAAACACAAATTTTAATCAACAAACAACACAATAGAAGTGTCGAAATATTATTTCTTTCAACGATCAACCGCAAATAAAACGAAACCAACACAAATCATTCAAGGTCGCATCGGCGAAACAGCGATTCTAATATATTGGTGGAAAAAAGGTCACATTGAACCCTAAGGCCTACCCTGCGGATCGTTTGTGGTATATGGCATAGATGTGATTATTTTTACTATTCATTAACAGATGGCGTAACAATACTGACGCCAACAAAATCAATTATATACAGGGTGTTAGTATATTAGATCGACAACGCTTTACCACAGAGAGCTTACGTTAATTGATGAATTTTGAAAAGGAATATAAACCCTTAAAGATCTTGGTTATCCCAAAATATGATGATTTAACGCAATTTGCTTCTACACCAAGTTATACCCCTAAGGAGTCATGGAAGCCTAAAGTAAGACCATAAATTTCGAAAAAAATTTATATCTGCAACCGTATAATTTAAAAATAATCTAATTTGGTAAATATTTTAAGGTGTGGTTTTGTGGTAACCCACCTTTATACCCAATGGGTGCTACGATTGAACATTTACGTTATCCGTAACGTACATGTTAGGCCGAGTTTTAACAGTAACGAGGCAAGTTTTTGTGATGGAAAACTGTTAAATTAGAACAGAATAAGCGGAAAATAACAGTAATGTGTTGGAAAAAGTTTTCCATCATACGCACTTGTCTCGTTAATGTAAAAACTCGGCCTAACATGTACGTTACGGATAACGTAAACGTTCAATCATAGGACCCATTATTTGTACAAATATAAGTAGGTAAATGCATTTAAAACAATTTGTCCCAAAATTGCACTTAACATCTGTGCGCACTAAGCTTTCGATATACTAAACAGACCACGTACAATGGTATGTACGTATATGTCCATGTATTTGGTATGTAGAAAAATGAATAAAACTGATTTTGAAAAATTGAAAGGATTTTTAATAAAAAAAATATGGTACTTAAATGGACTTTATTGATAACGTTACATAATGAACCAATAAAAAAAATGAAAAATGAGACCTAATCCAGCTGTGAAATATATAACTGTTTTCCTACTGACAAATATTGATGCTCTAAAACAATGAAGAAGTGGAGCGATTCCACTTCAGATAAAAATATATCTCGAAAACAAGTAATTTCCCTATTTATCAAATAAAAATAATTAAAAATAATTTAACGTTATTATTTTAATTAATATTACATGTCAATATATACATTGTACAAATATTTTTAGTACTATGAACAGTTGAAATGACTTTCTAACACCATCTCAAGTAATTAATTATATTCTTAAAATAAATGTATTAAACGTACATGATAATAAACAATCTCGATTAAAAACTAAATTGTAGAAAAATAGTACATTTAAAATAAACACAGTTGCTCAATTTAAAAACATGCGCAACTAAACAAAACACTCGCAGCAATACGATAAAAAGTTAAAAAAAGAGCTTGGCTAAATTTGAATCTAATGAAAATTAGAAAAGTCAAAAGTCTGGCGAGAGCGCAGGATAACGCTAAAACTGATTACTCATTTCCATTCATTTCGCACATAATTAGTTCATTATCTATGTATAAGAATATTCTAAGCACCTTAAAATGTATAATTCTTTGTAACTGCATGTTCTATAAATAACCGTCGGCAAACAGGACCTGTAGAAAACGTTCATATATGTATATATATATAAAAAAAAAAAACGAATTTCGAAGAAGCAAACTAAAATTTCGCGGGCTTCTTTTTCAATTTTGCTCGCATGCACACTCGCATTCGCCTTTGTATAGCCCAATTTAATCATTGTATATATCCAATTTAATCAAAAATACTTAGTTAACATAATTTTAATATATAAAGTAATCGTTTTAAAAATGTCTTGTAAAAATTATATCAACTGGGCCGGAAATATTCAATAAAAAAAGATGCAGCCCTTTATATTTCCGTATATTGTATGTAATACTACTTTACATTCTTTTTAATTTCAAGAAAAAAGGTTTTTATGTTGGTAAAGTACACATAGAGATGCCGATTTAAAATATTTCATTTCATCATTTCGATCAGAAAAGCATTCAGAACCTTCATTATTTTTTACCAACATCAAACTATTTTGATTCTGTCTAACACACAAAGCACTCATGTCATTTTTATTTAACATTTATAGTTTTTTTTACAAGTCTTCCTTTTCGTACTTGATTTTTTTCACACTCGGTTGTTGGGAAGATTCCGGTAAACGCTTGGTCGCCTTATTTGTTGACTGCGGATCTATTAAGAATAAAAAAAACATTATACAACGCATTAAAAAAAGTATCAATTTTTAATTATATAAAATTAAATCTATGCTAAACTATTGACAAAAATTGTATGGTAAAGAGAAAAGTAATACAAATGAAAGGGAAAATAATGTTTTCCAAGTACAATTAGGATGTGGTTGCTATTGCTGACTGCACATTGACGCGTGTCTATTTTACTCTATAAGAAACTGTAGATTGCCAAAATAAAGCTGCATAGTGCAATCGCCCTTAGAATACATGTTATGAAAGGAGTAAAAAAAAAAAATAATTTAACGCACCTTGTAACCACCTAACTTGCGTTGCAGGACCATATCCCTTGTCATTTTTGGCGGCAATACGGAATATAATTGCGGCTTTAGTAGTAGTATCAAGATGGGCAGCAGATAGAGACGTATTGGTCACCACACATTGATTACTTGGGCCACAATATACTCTTACGAATGCCAATTGTCCAGGAGGATTGGCTTTATCCTGAAATAAAATGGATATGGATGTAGAATAGTTTGAAACAAATAAAATCATTAATATTAAACCAAACAAAAAACTTACTTTTCCTCTAACAGCCAGGTACACGGAGTATTCAAGGATTTCACCTTGATTGGCACTTGGTGGCTCCCAAGATAAATGTGCTCCATCACCGGATTTGGCAATTTTAATAGCTGAGGGAGCTCCCGGAAAACCTGGCAGGCAAGTCTTGAAGGCTGATACCTAATCAAATATATTAACACGTTATTTCTTCTCATTGTATTCACATATAATTATAAAGTTATAAATTAAATTATACAGTAAGGTGCAAATGAAAGGAATACATTTATTATCTTATAACTCATTGACTTCTGGAAAAATCCTGAAACCTGCCGATTTTTATTTTTAAACTCACGTTCTGGCAGATATTCTTTTTATTCGCGATGTTTTATCAAAATGAAGCTTAATGAATCACAAAGAATTGAAACCAATTTGACAATCTACCGTAAACAAAATTGAGAAGAAATTCAGAGAAACGGGGCATGTAAGAGACCTCCATGAAGGTAGTAGATACAAAACTAATGTTTTACTAGTGTTTGAAGAGGATCCCCATACCAATTTACGACAAGCAGCATAACATCAACAGTTTTTAGAAGGCAAAAAAGTGCTATCCCTAATAGTTATTTGAGTTCAGAAGATTCAGGAAGACGATTTTGATAAGACTACTGGAATTTTACAAAATTATAATAAAGTTTTTACAAACGTATTTTTTTTTTCTTTACATAATTTAATCTAAACGTTCATGTAAATCGTCAGACATGTTAATATTGGGCCACGGAAAATGTACATTGGATACAGAGTATCATATTAAATACATAATAGGACCATACTTTTTCAATGAAATCTTAGCATTTAGAATTTTTGTAAAATGTCTTGTTACCCAAATTGAATTGGTTGTTCCTAAATAGAAATGATTTGTGGCTGCAGCAAGATGGTGCGCCCTTATGCTGTTTTTATGAGAAACTACTTTATTATTCAAAATACTTATAAAATAATATAATAAAGTGGTTCAGTCAATAAGTAAAATCTTTATTTATTTTAAAAGATATAAATAATAAAATATAAATATCTTATTACTATGGTAAATGATAACAGCTCATATTGACTATTGCTACATGAAAAAAGGGTTGAAAAATAGAGATCGCAGAAGATTATATTTCAAAACCGAGGCAATACTGTATGTAAGATTTTTTGTTTTATATCCTTGTTCCTAATTTTGTTTTATTTAAACATATTATAGAATATTGCATCATAAAAAACAACTCAATGTAAACCTTAGGCTGGAAGACCTCGGTCAATGACTTTTTGTTTTAATAAAGCATTGTTATTTTTTATCTAAAAATTATTATTTTTCTTTCAGTTTGCATTAAACGAAATTTAATTTCTTTTTTAAACTAATTTTAATTGTTATATTTTTTAAATAAGATGATACAGAATTATACATTTAATTTGATCTATGAATATGTAATAAATATTTTTTAACTATGGGTGGAAACTTAGTAGTCTCTTCAAATAAAGGATTGAGAGAAAGAATTGAATTCCTCTTGATTTTTTTTTGTTTAGACTACACAATTTCTTGTAAAATTGAAAAATAGGATTTTTTAAACAATTTACTGTATAATACTACACAATTTAAGTTGTACAAAAAATTGTATCAAATCTTGTACAAGAAATTGTGTAGTCTAAAGCAGTCTTAAAAAGTAAGCATACCAAAATGGATAGAATGCATTGAATCAACGAGACGGTGCTAATAACTCCGGAAATTACTGAAAAAGTAAGAAAGGAGTTCACTGCCCCTCTATGTCACAGCTGAGGGTCGTCAAATTGAAAATTTACTTTGACCTTGTTAGTATTTAGTAACCAAGAATATTAATTGGACTGCATTATGCAATAACGAATTAAGAGACAACATTCAAAAATTGAGTAAATGCCATCCTTTAATAATCATTGAAACTTATATTACAAAACTGTTTCAAGTGTGAATCGATTTGAAATATTTTGACTACGCATGCGTTTGTTAAGGTTTTTTGATTATTATTTGTAATTGCGTTAGAGGCTATTACTAAACAGTTCAGTCAATATAAGTAATAACACAGGATTTGTGTTAGGTTTTAAGATAATTTAAATTGTATTGTATGAATATTATAATTATGACTTTAAAAATGCGTTTCTAAATACCAATTAATAATTTTACCAACTTATAACTTTGTAAGAGCAAGAAAAAATATTTCTCCATACAATACTTGAAATATATTATGATAAATAATAAAAAAAGTTATAGAGATTTAAATAATTATGCATGTAGAGAAACATAGCTTTTAGTTTATTTAAGACAAAGGAAATCAAAACCTTAATATACTATTTAGCTGTGAACATTAGTGCAATTTATAAGCTTTAAAAAATATTGTCATGCAAAAAGAATTTTTTACTATAATATTAATGGCAATAAAAAAAAAGATAAATACCTCGCTCCATTCACCTCGACCAACAGAATTGATTCCAGCCACTCTAAATTTATAAGCAGTACCGGGCTCCAAATTAATTCTTGGATAATTCAGGAATTCGGCTAGATTATCCAATGAAAGATCAGATGTATCGTCGTTGAGTAAAAAGTAACTCTGTACATCACAACTACTACCCTTAATGAAACCTACAGTGTACCAAGTGTCCTTGATGGGCTGTTCAGAATCATTGTTTTCAGTCTTTTTTGTTTCTTTAGAATGATCTAAGGCAGCAGAGGCCAACGCAGCCAAAGGATCATCGTTCGAATTGTCCTCTTTTTTGTTTGCAAGCGAGAGACTTTCGCTGATTTTTGATCCGAGATTGGCGCTTAAGGAAGACTCTAAACCGCTGTCAGCTTCCATTTTGTCTCCCATGTCTGGCGAGTCTGTAGCAAGTGCATCAGCAGCATCATCATTTACATTATTAGTATCAGAAATTTCGTCAATATGACTATCGTCTCCTTTAATATTATCAGGAACCTCCGATTTTATGTCTAAATCCAAATCCATTTTGTCACTTTCATCGTTTTCCGGTACTTTTAATGACCCATTCAACGTTGCTTCTGTGGAATCAGCTTCTGCAGTCGTTGTAGATGACTTCATTCCACTCTCTAACTGGTCCTTACTTCCACCAAACAAACCCATGCGATACCTGTAATGTTACAAAAACATTACTAATTTCTGCATGAATCTGAACCGCAATTTTGTATGCCAAAAATGGTCTCTGGCAACATAAAAATGTTGCATGTGTCTTTGAATTCATTGGATTGTACCACGAATACTCGCATGATGAAAGAAATTCTCATGCTTAGCTGTCAAACTAGAAAACTAACCACAGTACTCTCAAATGCTAATGGCACATCATTAACTGAAGGTTAGGCAGAAATATTCATGAGACAACCCCCCATCCCCCAAAACTCATAATAAAGATTTGTCCGTTTTTTTTTAGAGAAAATCTTACAGTGAGCAACACCCAGTTATTCAGTTCAAAAAAGGAAATCACACTAGGAATATAATGAATAAGACTTAAAACCAAAGAATACACTATTGGATCTCACTGAAATGTAAAATAGGGATAATTTGTCAATTCTGAAATTGTACTTATTAATTATAGAAAATTAAGTTGAAAATACGCGGAAATCGTGTAATTACACATACATTGGCAACACTGCTATCTATTTATCATACAGCTCTGACATTATCGGATTATCCTCAAGGGCGCCTGAATTAATTAGAAAATGATTATAATTATACCTACCATATGGAGCAACGTGTAGTTAACTCCAAATAAAACCTTTTAATTTCAGCAATTATGAGGTACTACCTTCCAGGAAGGTTACATAATTCAATTTAATCTCCAGACTTAACTATGTGGGAAGTTAAAAATTAAAATTATTACTGTCACACAAAATAGGGATCTCTTCAAGTGTCGTTCAAATATGAATATTATGCTAAAATTATAAACAGTACAATAAGCAAAGTTTGAAATCAATTTATTTAAAGTCTCAAAAAATCTAACGTTGGAAAGACGATCATGTCGGTCATTCCATGGTTCCATGTATGTGATGTTATTTTTTTTTACTGTCATGACTTGTTAAAATAATATTTTTGATCTTTTAATCATTTAAAATTAAATACGCACCCAAAATCAATAAAATTATTACCAGGAATGTATAATAAAAACAAGAGTATAGCATTTTAATTTTCTTTTTTTTTACAAATACTGAAATAAATTTACTACCTAAATCCTTTTGGTGGTTTTTGCAATCTTGAACCACCTTTGAGTCCCAGTGTTTGCATGATTGATCCTCCCAAAAGTCCAGAGGGTTCCATTGGTGTGGAGACATTTGCCATATCTCCAGCATCATCTGAGCTGTCAATTGATGATTTTTCTCCAACTTCACTATCAACGTCAACACCTTCGATTTTTACAATGGAACCTTTTTCCGGTTCTGGATCTATGAGGCCTGCTTCGGCTGCCAGTGCCGCTAACGCTGCATCTGTAGTGGCTGGACCATCAAATGAAGTCGAAGCTGCAAAGTACCAAAAATGTAACCTTCTTTAGACTATTTCCTCAATGTAGAAGTGTAGAGCAGAAGTTTTCATTTTAAATATTATTTAGAGGGTGACCTAAATTTAGGAATTAAGTAGTTAAGCAATAGAGTGATTTATTTTCTCTTGTTCCTATAGATAATTAATTATATTACTGTTTAATATAAATGTAAACTACTACATAAATAAATAAATAAATAAAATAACATAACTTTCTTTAGATCAAATGTTTTAAGTACCATGTAGTTTCCTTTTATCACTTTATATATATTATTTCAAGAAAACACATTAATTTTAGATTCCATTTTAAATGTTTTGAAAACTTAAGTATTGTAATATAAATTTTTTTAATATGTTACTGAAATATATCTCTTATACATTTGAAAGCTTGTGTTTTGTATAAATTTTATATATAAATGTTAATCACCTATGGTTGCTGTGGGTTGTTTGGGTCGTGACACAACCATCAACTTTGGCTGCTCAGAATTATGTGATTGATTTAGAGTTGAAGTTATGGGCAGACGAACGATTTTACCAACACCGCCCTGATTAGGTTGAACCAAAGTCAAAGTTTTATTCCCTCCTGTAGCCATCTGGACTGTAACTTGCTTCCCTCCAATCATGACTTGTTTCTAAAATAATAATGACCAGTCAAAAAGAGTTACTTTAGACTGGTAAGATACTTACAGTATTCTTGGAGAGAGTAACAGTCTTGGGAGAACCAACTACTTGCATGGGCATGGAAATGGTAATGGGTTTGCCACCAATTTTAACGCCTTGAAGGCTAGTTAATGAAGAAGCAGTAACAACAGGTTGGGCATTAATTGAAGTCGTTTTTACATTGCCCAAGTTTACAGCTTGGGCATTAGTAAAAGTTTGTATATTCTTCAAACCTGTATTTGAACTAACAACTAGAACTTGCTGATTACCTAAAATTTAAAGTGTAAAAAAAAAATAATAAACATTATATATGAATATTTTTACCTAGTGTTGGAAGTTGACCTGCAGCTCCCTTTGAGAGTACTAACTTTCCTGTAGCTTTATTCATTTGAATCATATTAGAAGGAATTGTTTTTAAAGTAGTCAGTACTTTATTTGAAGGATTACTGGGAACAATTTTTACTATAGTATTTTTAGGTTGCTGAGGTAGTACATTGGTCTTGCCTTGGACAATGTTCCCTTGTTTTGGTAGCGTTGCCAAAGTCATTCCTGAAAATATTTTGCATAATTCTCTAGACATCACATGTTTAATGCAACTGTACCTGTACTGGTCTTAACTAAAGTCACTACTTGTTGTTGGACACCTCCAGCTTTTTGTATGATGCTTCCTCCTTGTTTAACTATCAATTGCTTGCCAGCACTGGTTATTTGCTGGGGTGAAGCTTGTCTGATTATTGTGCCAGCAGTATTCAACTTTAATGGCGTTGGTCCTGATTAAAAATTAACGTTAAATATTTGGATGGTTTCAAAAAACAAAATTGTATCTTTAAAAAATTATAGAATACGGCACTATATTATTTTAGAATTAAAAAAATATTTTTTTATACAAATTAACAAAAGTCAAAGGAAAACAAGAAAGATTTTATCAAAACTGTTTAGCTAGACAACCTTTATTTATCAGAAACAGTATATACTGCTTCTTTGTTTCTAAACCAATTTAGATAAAATTTAAAAGTACATTGATATCTATTTTTTAAATATTAAAAGATTATTTAATAAATGTATTGTAAACAGGAACTGCTATAAAATATTGGTAACAGAAAATACATTATTTTTTGTTCCAACCACTATTAAAAAAAAAAAAAATTAGTGACAAAACTTAACTATAGATTGTTTATTTAAAACGTAATTTTACTGAAAAACATTTTATAATTGAAGGTCTTAATTTAAAATAAGTACCAAAAGAATGGAAAAAAGTAAAATACAATTTTTAGACACCATGTACTGTGATGGAACTTAGAACCATTTGGATATCGTAGGGTTGGTATATTGGAACTTTTTTATGCAAAAATATATATATTTTTAAAATTTTTGACACTTACGACCTTTTGAAGTTAAAGTCTACAATTAAAAGAATTTCTATCAGAATGACATCATTGAACCAGGCAAAAACTGCATTATTTTCACTCAATATAGATTGTTCAAAATAACATTTTTACTTTCCTATCTGTATACATATAAGGAAAGTAGGGTCGTGGCACTACTTATGGCCACTATCCTACTTATAGCCATTTGTTGCTTTGAAATCTAAAAATAAGAGTTTGTCAACAATGTGAACTAAGTGGTGGGTAGAGGGTGTAAATGAGCATGTGGTAATATGATTGGACAGGTTTGCAACTAATTATCTAAGGCCAACGTAAATCAGTAAAATACATAGTTAACATGTGCAATATATGCAAGCATTATTTGTTGTTTTGGCTAAGAATTTATCTGCATACATCAGAACAAAAATTGGATTTATTAAGAATATTTTTGAATATGCAATTTCCAGAGGTAAGTAGATTCTATTTTGTTTTCAATCATATATTTTTTAAAATTAGAAATAAATATCAAGGTGGCCATTACTAATGACTAAAAATTAAGAATTCGTGAGTTATGGCCACACTGGTGGCCAAAAGTAAAACATCATATTTTACTTATGACCACCAGTTATTGTGTGGGTTGAGGGGTAGATAATAATTGAGATATTTTGTATTCTTTAACTGGATATTAATATGCTCTAACAAAAGAAGAGGTCATAATTGGGAAGGTGCTGAAACAGCATCTGAATTGTATAAAATTTTGCTATAAATTACATTCCTCATACCCAAAACACTACTAATGAAGATAACAAATATGTAGGACGAGTCTGAGGCAGAATTATATCATGATTGAGAAATTGTTTCCACACCATCTTGAATTTAATTTCTTCTTGAGGATCCCTGTACCTTACACAGCTAAAGATGCACAATCACCCTTACCTGGCTCATCTACATCAACCCTTACGATAACAGCAAATAGCAAACTAATATTTAAAAATGCAACTTAAAAATTAGTGGCCATAAGTAAAGAACTAGTGGCAGACTGATGGCCAAAAGTAAAGAATTTATTCCAACTTAGGAAAAAAAAATGCAATAAAGAATTACATGCTATTAACACAATAGATACATATATTCTTGAAAATTACATACTTCAACCTATCAAATGCTATTTTTATTTATTTTTTTCTGTTATGAATATGATTTATACAGGCCCCACAAAAGCATTTTTGTCTTAATTTTGTTTGAAATATAATCTATAATTTTTATCCTATACATATGTTTTCTAAAATGGACCGTATTCGAGATATTTGAGAAAATGTGTAAATTTCGAATATTGAAGAAAACTCAAAAACGGATGAAGGAAAAAACATTAAATTTTAAACTTAAGTTTTATTTCGGCCTGAGGGGAAATGATTAGATTTTTGACAAAGTCGGAACATCTGGGGGGTACTTTATAGGAGGTCGTTTTTATATTTGATGGAATATATCTGTTATTTATGTTTGGAGAAGAAAATTGTTCAAATAAAAGTTACTTCCTAATATTATTGTCTATAATTTTTTCTTTATGCCAAATTTTCCTGAAATGGTGTGTATTCGAGAAATTTGACAAAATGTGCAAAATTCTGACTTTCAAAAAAATTGTTAAACTAAAAGTTGTTTGCAATATCAATCTCTATAATTTTTGTTCTTTACATGATTTTTCTGAAATGGACCGTAATGAAAAAATTGGGAGGACAAGTGCTAAATTTAAATTTTTCAGTATTTTCATTTTCAATGAATATAGAAAAATGTTCCCAAGTTAGATGTATGTGGAAAATGTATATATTTAGTTTATCCTCCAAACATTTATAGAGATGCTGCAATAGGTTGTGCAAAATAACCGGATAAAGCCTATAATAACTAGATAGAAAAGTCATGTGTTGGACACAACAGATTTTTTTTTATATTTACCTTTATTCATGGGTGTAACAATCTTGGGTGTTATTGCTTGATTGGGTAAGGCCTTTGCGATTGGAATAGGAGTGGTGGGTGGTGAACTTAAGATTGGTTGAGCTGTTTTTGGTGAGCTAACCAATGGGGGGACTGATGCCTGAGCTTGAACAGGAGCAGGCTTAGAAGTAGAAGCTGCTGGTGGTGGTAAATCATATTTTTGTATCTGTAAAAAAATACAATATATGTTAATATGTATATTTATTTAAAATATGATTTAAGTTTTCATTATAATGGTAGAATTAACATACCTGTAAAATATATGTCTGAACTGAGGGTGAGCCAGTCCAATTCACTTCAAGAGACTGTGTTCCAGCTTTCACCAATGAAACCCTGCTTGGTGCAGGAGGTTTATCTACCTCCAAATACCATAAATCTTTACAACAAACCTACAAAAATATATATTTAGGTTTTATTTTGTATCAAAATTGATGGCATAACAATAAAAAATAATTCAAATACTTAAAAATTGTACCTGATTTTTCCAGGCTTTTCTGTATCCATCTCGGCCAGACCATATATATAGTCTAGTACTGATTCCAACTGCACAATGTCCAGCTCTAGCACAGGGTAAGCTGACTTCTGAATCAGCATGAATATTTAATTCATCCCAATTCATGGACTCCAAATTGAGACATGCCATTGTGCTTGTACACTTCCATTCTTTCTCATTTGTAGCAGTTTTGACTTCATCAGCTACTACAGGCACCCAACCACCAAAAACAAACATCCTATGTCCGATTAATGTTGAAGTGTGCAATGATCTAGGCAAAGGAGTGATACCAGAAACTTGAGGTTTTAACCAAGTCATTGTTTCTGTTTCTAAAAACCACAAATCACCCAATCTGCATCCACTCATACCTCCATAAATAACCAAAAAGGACCTTCCCTTCTTTTTATCCAAGTAGGCAACGCCAGTATGAGATTCTCTAGGAGGGGGAGCTGGTCCATTAGTTTGGGGAATATCCCATTGTACGGGATTACTTCTAATGTCTAAAGTATAAAGATCATTTAAATATCTTGGGACATTGTTTTTAGGGTCTGCACTGTCATTGGCTAAGCCACCAAACAGATACACTTTTGCATTCACTAAAGTAAAACTGTGACCCAAACGTGGGCAAGGTGGGGGGCCCAATTTGGGCTGCTTGGGTTTCAACTTTTTCCATTCCCATTTTGAGGCCTACAGAAAAATAGAATAATATTAACAATTCAAACTAAAATGCTTCTTATTTAATTACCTGTAATTCATATAATTCATTACTATATTTTCCATATTCTACCATTCCCCCAAAAACTAGAAGCCTTGTTCCTTCCACAACAAATCCATATGCTGCACAACCTGGGGGTACATCCCCTTTCGTCACGGGAACAAACCATTGATTTGTTGCTACAAAAACCACAATTCTAAATTAATATATAGGTATGATAATATGTGGTTAATTGTTCATAAACCAGTATTGTATTTGTTGGATAAAACTCATATGCAATATATTATTTTCTTTAATTTAAATGTGCATTTACTCAATTAAGTAAACAATATGTGCATAAGGCACAGAAAAAAAATAAAAGTAGGTTTGTTTAAAAAAGCTAGGTTGGAATTGAAACGATTTTCGATGTCGATCCTATAAGAAATAATTTTAAAGAAATTATTGCCACCGTCGTTACATATCTGCATTCGAAGTTTGGTTAGATATTGAATTTTAAAATTTTACTAAGGGGATCATTTAACATGTCGCCGTCTCTGTGTACGCACACCGCCATATTGACTTATAAACCAAACAAAACTTCATTGAAATGACATTTGAACAGTTTTACAATTTGTTATTATTCGAATATCGCAATTAAAAAAAGGGTTACAAGTGTTTATTGTAGACAAAGAATAGTATTTCAAGAGGAAAATGATAATAATAACACATCGCGCGCCATATTTACTAGGTATACGAAGCTTCAAACTTTAGTTCTTTACCTGTATTGTAAACATGAAGTTCATCGACTATTCCCTCGTTTCCACCCCCAAATACGACCATCAAATCTTTAATTGCAACTGCACGATGTCCATGTCTCGGTCGGGGCTGAGGTCCAGTGGGATTCGCCACCAATTTCCACTGTAACGCCTTACCCGCCATTACGTGATCACATTGCACAGTACTTCGACATCTATAAAGGTGCAAGCCAATGAGATTCGATACAGTAAAATTCAAACTTTTTCACGCGATCCTGTTCTAACACTAAAATTTTTAACTACACTATTATCACTATCCATGAAACAAACTTGGCTTGTATTTTCTTCCCGTGCACTACGAACAGTTTCAAATTTTATAAATTAAGTTTATACATCAAGCTTTAAAACGTTACAAAAATGATTTTCTCCACAGTCGGCAAATTCACTTTCAAACAATTGCTGTTACCGACACAACAAACTGTATAAGAGCCATCTATATGGGGATAGCTACACTGAAATACCGATAATTATATGGGTTGGTTTTCTAACAGTTTTTACCATTATCTACTAGATGGCAGCAAGAAGATTGATTTGTCGAATTCTATTTATGTGGTAAAAATAAAAGTAAGGTCGGGTCGGATGCTATAAATAAAAGTGATATCACAGTAACGGAAAAACCGATATCTTCACAATGTTTTTGGTACTTTCTAAATATTTGTGCGCATACCTTTGATAAAATTATAATGTAATCTTTTTTCAAATTTATTCGTTTTAAAATCCGATCAAATAAATAAAAGTTATATAATAGAGCATATTTTGGTTTCCAAAGCGGGCCCGTCTCCAGCAGCGGCACCGGCAGCAGCAGGACCTTCGCTGCATCAGCGTCGGCGTCGACATTGCGATAGAATAGGAAGCAGCGAGGTAGTAGTGGCGTTCGGCGTACTGAACGGTAGAAAGAGAAGAAAAGAACTTAAGAGACGAGAGAACAATTTTATAGGAAAGAATTCTAATTTCGAATTCGAAAAACTGATCACTACAATCTGATATTTAAGCACCTCTAGCGGCAGAAAGCGTAAGCTGGACAGAGCAAAGCGAGTCAGAGAAAGGCTCGGTGTGTTGCGACGTGCGGCGAGTTGAGTTTGTGTGCGTGTAGTGATTGGGTGCGTTATAGGGCGCCTAGCTGCATTTATTTTGTTCGTGCGACCAATGTTAACCTGACCTCCACGACTGTTCTACGGGATTGCGACGGGCTCTGGGGCGACCGCTATCGCAAACATATTGGATCAGCCACACAAAGTGAGTATTAGTTAGTTATTACCTATTCCCATTTCGTTACTGTTACAGCATACTTAACAACCTACCCCATTTTAACCCGCTATTAACGATTCGCTCTCGCCCAACACTTTATGCCCGATGCCTGTATTCTTGTCATGACGTCTTTTACATATTACATGGGAAGTGGGTCAAGCCATCGAATTGGCCTTAAAAATCAAGCAATGCCCGAGTTGGGATAGGTACATCGAGATAAATGATTAACAACCTACCTATCTAAAGATCGCTAAAAATTCCGTTTCGTTTAAACTTATGCTATATTAACCCACTGTCGTACAATTAAATAACACTAATTGTTTTTTTCTCCGAAGTTAGTCATGATGACGTCATTTCAATATTTTAACAAACATAACAAGACAGTTTTGGTGATTTTTTGTTAAAACAGTTTCAATAATGTATTAGTTCTATATGTACCAATCTTGGGAGCTTGAACACGTGCTTTTTTCAGTATTCAACGCGATTACTCTATGATTATGATATGTACATATACACAATAAATATCACGCTTTCAATTCCGTGGAAGCTCGATAGGTATTGATATTCGGTGTTGTCAAATTTTTTTTTTCATTTGCCGAAAACAAACATTTAAAATTAAAAATATAGATTAATCAGTTATAATAATTATCAAGCAACGGTCATTTTATAATGTAAATTCTAAAGTAAAACTTTATTCAAAAGAATAAACAATTCCGTGTTGTTCTTGCTAAATTTAGAACCCTATTAATAAACAACAATATTGTTTAAATGATGATAAACCGGTTAAATCAAAATGTTTGTATCTAACTATATATTTTGTAATCATTTGCAGATGGGGTATAAGCATGCCTATTGATTATAATTAAAGTCAAGAGACGACAATTTTTTGGAACATTAAGTAGCTAATAATAATTTTAAAACGTTGACATTTGAGTGTTAATTATTAATATCGGTAAACAATTCTCAATTCCAGCGGTGAAAAATACGAAAGAGCATTGGAGTGTTGTCATCGAAACAGTCAATAGTGCCTTCCGCGTCCAGATTAAAATAAAACAGTTTAATTAATTTAAGTTTTGCTAGTACACTATGATATAATAAATGAAAATGTACATACGCAAATTCGCGAGTTTTTCAAAACATGGCAACGGTGCAAACGCGATCGATCGTAATGTTGAATGTTGGTCTGTTGGTGTATGTACCCGTCAAAATGTCTCAGGTGTAGTCCATGGCATCGCCCAGTTGAACTCACATTTGCACGAAGCCAATGTTGAAATCTTGATCGGTAAATGTGACGTCATGAGCTTCCACGAGGTTCTTTATAAATAACACCTCATCGTACTTAACTACGTTGGAATTTGTCTAGGCCAACCATGACATCATTGCAGTTGTATTCTCAGCCAATAATATATAACGAGTGCTTAAGCCTACGATCATCACTGTCGGTGATATTAAAGGTTTGTAATCGTCCCGAAAATTTAACGACTATTGGAATCAATGAGAAATTATCACTGCCTATTAAACATAATTATATGCACGATATCTTTTGCATTCCAATCATAAACGAGTAAAAAACGTATTTTATAACTTTTGACGGCCACAAAAAGGAAGAGTTAAATTGACAAAATCCCATCATTAAACAGAGAATGAATTAAAAAGAAAATTAATCATAATCGTTTTTCTCCTTGGGACCCATCAGGGCATTTTAAAAAAAGACAGACATGTGTTAGGTCACGGTAAGGGAATAAGACACTCGTTTTTCTCCTTGGGATCCATCAGGGCATTTAAAAAAAGACAGACATGTACTAGGTCACGGTAAGGGAATAAAAACATCTTAACTAGATTGGGAGCCAATGGGGAACTAATTGACAATAATTATATAAACGGTCGTTGGTCCGTTTATTGTAAGTACCTATACTTACAGCAATCTTCATCAAACTTAACTACCCGGTGTTTTCACCGCACTTTTCCACTGTCTTTACCTTCCCGACCTTGACATTTCTAGAAAATCCTCTTTTACATCAATTTCTACTTTGGCCAACCTCTTATATTTTGTCTGTCTCGGTTCTCCATTCGCCAATTTTACCAATCTTTTTTTGTTGTCGATAAACTTTCATAATCTCGTTCAAGGTAATCATTCCCTGTGTTCCGTGCGGATCTATTTTAGGACCCTTGTATTTACGTAGTGTTGGCGGCAACGCTTAGTTCTTGATCGGATATGCCACAACTTTCCATATCACAAACTATATGGCTATGAACGAGGAACCGCTATATTCATGTATAAAATTTTACAACCATTTGCCTGTAGACTTTAAATCTGACACATTAAAAAAAAATTTAAAAATATTAACTATTCTGTATAATTTAGAATTTTATTCTATCCCTGATTTCCTAAATAGCAACCTAAACGAATATCGAGGGGCGAGCGCCTGATGATTTTGTTCAAAATGTTTAACCACTCCTACATTAATGTTATATAACTATTTATATTTGTAATAAAACTATATTTCAATGTTTTTTGACGGGCTTTGTACATTTTCTGTATGTATGTATGTATGTATGTATGTATGTAATATATAAGTGCAATGAACTATTTATTTATTATATAATATCAGGGAGTGTCAGTAAATCAGCACCCAAATTTTCTTGTATCTTCCAGTTTTTAGGAAACTTATTATTTCTCATACACACGTCTGATTTGCCTAAAGTTCCCAATAGTCTAGTCTTTTTGTAGTACCTCTCTTTCTGTATCTGGTTGGTGGGTTGCCCCACGGCACTTAGACCTCACTAGGCTCATTGTGCATCCTCTGATAGGCCCCTCTTAGTTTGTCAGTCAGCCTACAGATTTGTAGTACAAGTTGGAAAGGCATTTGGTAGGTAGAGAGGGGGTAAACGTCAAACCACGTCGGACGGCTTCGAGAATTTCGCAGTTATGTTTACCTGCCAGTGTCGTTTCATAAGTAATTTTAGATTGTTACCGGCGGAACCGGACAATCGTATGTATTTATGGAATATAAATAATTATTAAACATGTATTTTATAATATTTAAATCATAATTTTACAAAATTTCAACAGTTATTCACAATTTATTAAACTATTTACTCGAAATTGTTATTAACATCTATAAAATAATTTTGTACGTCAATGTATCGTGTCCAGTTCGGTTTGATCCGCCGCAAACCTGTCAATTTATGTGTATAAGGTGATAGAACTGGCAAAAGCTTTTCCAACTTCTACCCCTGCTATACCTATCCATGTTTCGCCCGCATATTATAACATTAGTGAAAATTTTTCAATAATTGACAATGTTCCAGTAATTGACAATGTTCCAGTAATTGACAATGGTCCAGTAATTGACAATGGTCCAGTAATTGACAATGGTCCAGTAATTGACAATGTTCCAGTAATTGACAATGGTCCAGTAATTGACAATGGTTCAGTAATTGACAATGTTCCAGTAATTGACACCCCTTATTGTTCTTTCAAAAAAAAACTGGATATGAGAAATTTCTCTGAAACAGGTATTATTAAAGTATTTACCTACCCTGTAGCCTACGTAAAGGATCTTATATGTGGGCTCTATAGAAAATTTATAATGTCAGGCCAAATTGAATATCTGTTTATATATAAAACAGCACTAATGGGTTTTTCTTAGTTTTTATATTTGTGAAGCCTCATTTTTATTTAAGTGTCAATAACTGGAACGATTAAAACCAGTATGTTCCAGTTATTGACAAACCCTGTCAATTACTGGCCCCCAAGCAAATTTAATGTTATCATACTATCTACGATATACTTTTTAAATATGGTTCCAGTCATTGACGCGTGTCATTTATCAATATAAGAAGTGTTGATAACTGAAACACGTTTTTGGTACAATTATGGCACCTACAAAAAATTATACACAGACTCAGTTGTGAATTGGCTGTTTATTTTCATTTAGTGTATTAAAATTTTAAGTAAGCATAATAAAAAAGAAGTTTCCTTTAGTTTGTGTCAATTACTGGTGCATGAAAAATATAAAGTGTTAATTACTGTTGATTCAAAGGATATTTTCTACATTAAATACTTATTTCAGAAAAAATTAAATTAAATGATTAATATGCTTAAAAAAGTGTGGCGATGTAATTATTATTTTTGTTGGGACATATTCGATATCTGTAGAAGCATAAAACATTTTATT